TCTGGGGTTCCAGCGCAGTGCAGAACCACGCGCATGCGATGATTTCCTCCCACTGAAGCGTTCTGGAAACCCGGTCTCTCTGAGGGATGTGTCACTTGGAAAATGTTCTTTTTATGAAATTATGAAACTTTGGCTGAACAGCGCTTGTTCCCGTCTTCCGCATGAAGCATAGAGACATTTGATCACGCACAAAGTTTATGTGGAGCAGAAGCGGTCGGGCCACGGCAGGTGAAGTGTTCCTAGCCTACATGAAGTGAAACTGTTTAATTGTAACATTAATGTGTTACTGGACACGCTGGTCTGGTTGGTTAGACCAGTGTTTGAAGTGGAAAACACACACTCACTCACACACACACACACACACACACACACACACACACACACACACACACACACACACACACACACACACACACACACACACACACACACACACACACACACACAATTAAAATATAAAATAATGCTGATAGCGTGGATAGAAGACAGGTGATGGTTTACGTATTTAAATGATGATCAGGCTGCTGTAAAATGTAATCTCCATCCACATCCAGACACAATTATCCTCTAGTCTTTCTCTAGTCGCTCTGCTCTTGTCTGGGCTGATCAGCTGATGGTGCGCGCGCCTAACTAGCGGCTGATGCACATTTTACGCATTTGGAGAGGTGGACTGGATGCTGTGCGTTTACTGGAAGATGGTCCACTTAACGCACGGGTGTAGACTACATATTAATGACAAATGAATGAAAATTAAATTGTGAGTTTTTACTTCATATTTTATAAATAAAAAGGATGGGGGAACACATTTATGACATCTTTTTAAACGAAATTTTCTAGCGCGACCTGCCTGCTTCACTTAAGTCACTGCTTATTAAGGTCCGTCCAAAATTACTGTGGGAAACGGGTAATAATGGTTCTTTGATGGGAACAGGGTGCCGACCCCTGGATAAGATCTGAGCTGGTAAAACAAAAATCCTCATCAGCAGGCGTTTTTGAAAGTGGGGGGGACACAGCTGCCAATCACAAATTTTGCCGGGGACATGTCCCCGGCGTCCCCGGTTAAAATGACGCCTATGGCTACATAGACTGATTTTATGTCAACCATAGAACTATTATTTGGAAACAAATGGTCCAACAGAACTCTTCCTTCCTTATAAACTCCTAAAAACACTTTATTATAGGTTATTGTGAAAAATCATAAAATAATCTATTCTTGGTGTTCCTCTTTTTAACGAGTTACCTTTGTGTTTGCCCGTTCTGTGATAAATTTTTTTTTTTGTATATTACTTTACTAAAAATGACACTTTTTGTAACAAACATGTGTTTTATGTGAATGATTGTTAGCAGTGTTTACTAATATTAGATTAATTAACTTAATGATTTATATTGATTAATGTTTCAGGATAAATTTTTGGTGATTTCCACATTTGTTCCCCAAATCTAAGTCTGTCAACAAAAATCTTTGTGTTACTTATTTTAATAAAATATGTAAAACTGTGACAATGATGAATTTTTATTACTTTTTTCTGTCGCATTGCTTCACATGCAAAAAAAGGTTTTCGGGACCAAATTTTCAGAGTTGGATGTCAAAGGATGTGAATGGAGGCACGAGGGAAAAGATTTAAAAATTCTAAGCTGCAAATGTTCAAAAAGCCTGATTTTTTTTTTTTTGGTCATTATTTTTAAAAAAAAAATAAGCCATTTAAACTACAATGATGAGTGTAATTTGGTTTGTTATTAATCAGATTTCCATTAACGTCGTAGCTCAGCTGGAATGAAAACATCGACATTTATACATTTGTTTCTGATTCTGATCTCTTTAAAGTCTGAACCTTCAATCTGCCACTAGAAAGTGAACTATGTGTCGACCACAATCACACTCAAAGGAAAGTGCTTTCAGTGATCTGTTCCAGCCCAGAAAACCACCGTAGTCTTGGCTCAGGCTGATGGCCCAACATGTCTGAAAGCAAAAAACGAAACGAGGCAAGTGGGAAAACCAAGAACAATATTTGTTTTTCCATAAGATGAAGGTTCAATTAGAGGAGAGCAAGTGAACGGTTATTAGACAACAGAGGATTTTCTGTTTCTGGATGAGATTGCCTCATGATTACGGAGCTGAGAGCAGTAATACTTCAGTCCTGCAGGATGTAGCTTTATTAGAATGACACTGTGGCTCCGAATCACTCATTCTCTGATGGGAGCTTGTGGTTGCTGGAAAAAAAATCTTTCTTTTATTCAATTCAGCCAAGAAAAAATAAAGTTCTATATGAATAAGAATGTTTGTGGGGGTTTTTTCTTACTGTGATTAGATGGGATCTAGCTCATATTTTCAAAGAAATCAAGACTCGAGTTACCAAACCACTGGTTGATTCGACATGTTGACAGGGATGAACCTAATAGATGAGCATCATCTGTGTGTGTGTGTGTGTGTGTGTGTGTGTGTGTGCGTGCGTGCGTGCGTGCGTGCGTGTGTGTGTGTGTGTGTGTGTGTGTGTGTGTGTGTGTATGTGTGTGTGTGTGTGTGTGTGTGTGCGTGTGCATAAAAGCCAATGCTTTGACTTAACAGAATCTCGACTATTCCCGAAACACATCCCATTATACATATCAGCTGTTCATCAGCATCAGTATTGGCAATAGAAATAATCAATATTGGTCAACTTCTAGTCTCTAGTAGGAATGAAAACCTTGTATGTCATTCTCGGGGGGGGGGGGGGGGGGGGGGTACTAGTACAGCATTTCCAGGAACCAGAATTACCCTCATTACAGCTGAACTGCAGACTGCAGGTTTTGGAGTCTTATTTCCTGATATTTTGACATCTTGTCTCAGATTGGAATACAGCAACGTAATTCTACTACACTGACTAACAATGTTTTATCTCCACAAATAACACAAGCCTGAAGTAGGAAACTCGGATTGGGACAATATCACATGTAACTTGTACGTTTTGTAGCTTGTAACATGTTTTGTAACTGTGACTTTCATTTGTAACATGTAATTCACATTTTGTAACACATAACTTTAGTTTTATAACACGTATCTTTTGTTTTGAAACATGTAACTTTCATTTTGTAGCATGTAATTCACGTTTTGCAACACGTAACTTTAGTTTTATAACACGTAACTTTTGTTTTGAAACATGTAACTTTCATTTTGTAGCATGTAATTCACGTTTTGTAACATGTAACTTTAGTTTTCTAACATGTAACTTTAGTTTTCTAACATGTAACTTTAGTTTTCTAACATGTAACTTTAGTTTTCTTACAAAACTAAAGTTACATGTTACAAAACGTGAATTACATGCTGCAAAATGTAAGTTACATGTTACAAAACTTTTGTAACATATAACTTACATTTTGCAGCATGTAATTCACGTTTTGTAACAGGTAACTTTAGTTTTATAACACGTAACTTTTGTTTTGTAACATGTAACTTACATTTTGTAGCATGTAATTCATATTTTATAACACGTAACTTTTGTTTAGTAACATGTAACTTTCGTTTTGTAACATGTAACTTTGGTACATAACATGAAACTTTCATTTTGGAACTTGCAGAAAAATCTCAATGTTTCAAATCACAACTTTCAAAACACAGATCTCAGTCTACAGTTACAAAACCCAAGTCAACAAGTACAAAACTTTTTGTCGTAATTCTAGCATGCTTCCAAAAGAACCAATGAAAGGCTTTGTCTTATAAGCCTATCGTGTGTCTCAGATTTCTGTTCAATTATAGTGGGTGTGGAGGTGGGCAGAGGTCAGTGGGTGTTGGCTACTAGTCTGCTCACAACAACCTAACTTAGTCAAGTTCTCACAAAGCTGATGTTGGTTCCAATTTCTCGTTCCTGCTTTGCAAAGGGCAATTCCACTCAATCTTTCCCCTCCCAAAGCCTCTTTAGTTTAAAACTATTATAAAACAACAACACCTAGACTCTTCAAACCTGGACTAGATTATCCGTGATCAACAGCATATTGCATAGAACATACTTGTGATTTCTGAAACGTTGTGAGACTTTAAAAAAAATGCTAGTTTCTACATTTTTTAAGCATCTAGACCAACTGGTTCTGTGCAAAAACTACAACATCTACATGCTGCAAACCTGGACAAGATTTTTCTAGACTAAGACTCGGGTTCCATAAAAAGTTTGTGATTGGTTTGTGTCATTGGTTTTTTGGGAGGGGAGCTAGAATTGTGAAAAAATGTTTCGTACTTGTAGATGAAAGTTTTGTAACTGTGGAGTGAGGTGTGTGTCTTGAGAGATGTAATTTGAAATGTGTACGTTGATTTTTTTTCTGGAAGTTACAAAATGAAAGTTGTATGTTATGTACCAAAAATTACGTGTTACAAAACAAGAATTACGTGTTACAAAACAAGAATAACATGGTACAAAACAAATGTTACAGTTAAAAACATGTTACAAGTTACAACACTTGCTACAAGTTACATGTCAGATTGTCATAATCCTAGTTCCACACTGGATGAGCTTCTGACATGTGGTGAAGTTGCTAATGCTAATATAAGCTTCTGCTAGCTGAAATGTCCTCTGCTGAAAAATGGGTATTCAGTGATCCACATATTTAATGTCATCATTTTTGTGAACCTAAGTGTTTTCCGAACAAACATGTCCTAAATAAAATGTGGTGTTGTTGTTTTTTTTTTTAAATAGTACACCATTAAAGAGGACATGGTTCAAAACTCACCTTTTGCATCCTTTTCTGCTGCCATGTGGGTCTCTATATTCTCTACATTCCAAATGTTTAAAAAACTGTCCATCTGATTTCTATGATTGGTTTTAGGAAAGACGTGCCTCAAGACAACTCATTCTGGAAGGTCCTGAAATTGTCAAGAAGAAAACTGCTGAAATTGTTTTATATGAGAGGGATTATAGTGCAAAGAACTTCATAAATGGGTTTTGTATCGACCCCAACTATTAAGACTTAAGTTAGTAATAAGTCCCAAAACAATACACTCACAGACACTTTTCATTACAAATTTCCCCAAATTACATTATTTCTAATCCTTTATTATGATAATTCCTTGATTTGTTTTAATGTCTTATAAAATGTCAACAACCAGCATAAAAATGAGTAGTTAAGATGTTTCATTAAATGTCAGGACACGTTTTTAGAATGCTAAAATTTTCAAATTAAGACGCAGTAAAATAAAAACACACATCTGTTCTCCATTTACAACCTCAAATCTAACATTTAAAATGAGTGTAGTGGTCTAAACCCTTATTCATTCACAGGATCCCTTTTATTTATTTTCCTTTGTGTATCTTGTACACTCAAACAACTTAATTGAACCTAATGAATATAAAATTATACTTTTTCCAAATACCCCTGTAAAAATAATAAAAGACTGAAAAAAAGTAATGTTGGAGTCACACATTGACACAAAACATGAACTTGCGTGCATATTTAGGCCATTGAGGATAGCAAAGTTAGTATCTGCATAAAGACACCAAAGATACTGCAGGGGGAAAAGACAAGAAACGTTTTACTTTCATAACTTTCGATTTCCAAATATGAAACCAATACCCATCTCCTGCACTAATTACAGAAAATAAAAGAAGATAAAAAATTTTAACAATCATGATCTGGAGATCTAAACGTTTTTTTATCCTCCTGATTTCCATAAGGCACCAAATAATCATCAGCTCAACGTGAAAAACTCCAGGACAGAACTCTGCCGCCTTCTAGTGGACAAGCCGACTGTTTGTATGTTTAACAGCTAACTACATTCATCAAAATACACCAAAGTCTCTAGAAATAAATATCACATCGTCATTTGGTAAATAAGTAGGTAAATAAGTAACATCTGCTGCTCCTTTGCTGTGGCTTCAGTTATGAGAGGTCATGTGTCTCGACAGGTGGTGCCGCTCCCTGAAGTATTCGTGGCAGATTGGGCAGGTGAGTTTCTCCTCCCTCTTCCGCCTCACCTGAGACTCGGCGGCGAATTCCTTCTTGTGGTGCGAGCGCATATGGAAAACCAGGTCAGAGGTCATGCGGAAGGACAAGTTGCATTTGGCGCACCAATTCTGCACCGAAACGCCGAATGAAGTCAAAGTTGGCGGGAGAAGCGTAAGGGAAGACGTGGTTTGCAGCTGTGCGCCAAAGTTTCTGGACCAGTGCTCCGTTGCGTAATGGAAAGCGTTACTTAATGGAACCGAGGAGCCTAACGCATGCAGGTCGCTGCTGAGGATGGTTGACGTCATCAGATGGTTGTATCCCAGTACAGTCCTGCTGGGAAAACCGTCTGCCATCTCATCCAGACGGCTAGAGGGGGCTGTTGGAGCGCTGCCGAGACGAGCCTGCGGCTCCACTTGGGAAGCCCTGTTATTTGGTTTACAAAAAGCGCTTTTCTGCTCGCTCTGGCTACTTGGCAGAACCACAGAAAAAGCGCTGCTGCTGCTACCGCTGAAATGTCCAACAGATTCCTGCCCCTTCTCCAACCGTGCGTTCACCTCTCCGTCGTGCGTAAAAGTCTGGTTAACTTCCACCACTTCTGCTAAATCAGCGCTTCTTCGTACCACATGAACCACGCTGGTCCTGTCAGATTTCAGTTTCCCAGAGAAGGAGGTGAGGGAGGGGTTTCCTGCTGCCTGCTCATGCCCTCTAACCACGTGCGTCACATTTTCATCATTTGAAATGTTCGTTTTTTCCAACAAAACTGTTTTGCGCAATTTGGGAAGGTGACTTTCCTCGCATTTCCTCTTTCTTGGAGAACCATCTGCGTCCTTCTTCTGCTCCAAGTCTCTGGCGATGTTGTGGAAATCCGTCACCCGGCGTTGCTTTTTAACCTCCGCGTGTTTGTGCTCGTAACTGTCGTTGCTCCAGGTGTCGCATTTCGCTTCAGTGCACAGAAACCTGCAGTGAGCCACGAAGGGATGCTTGTTTTTGAAGACCTGATTGCATCTTCCACATTTGAATTCTGCACGAGAAAAAAGCATATATTACAGAAATGTGGCAAACAAATCCCAACAAACGTTTCAGATCGCTGGTGGATATGATGCAGTTTCACGTTTTTCTTCCACTCGGAGCGAAAAGGCGCAGATTCACCTCCGTTCGAGCCTTTGATCGTGTCCGTGAAGCCCAGCAGGTGAGACAGCTCCTGGTCGTACCACACCAGAAGCTCTTCCTCTGACTGGATGTCTCGGATGGTCCGCACATACAGCTGACCCGCTTTCAGGAAGGCTTCTGTGTTCTGCTCATCACCATTGCGCGCAGCCTGGACGAGCCGCAGCCAGGACAGCACCAGAGCCGAATTGCGCAGCGCCTCAGGATCGACCTACAAGTGCAAGAAACGGGTTTACTCAATTTCTCCAAAGATCGGATTCAAATACATTCGTGTGTTCTCCATCAGCTTCACGTCAACGATGACCTTTGACCGCAGATGTGCGTGACTCACCCTGAACAAACAGGATTTTACTGTCTTGTCGCAGCATTTCTGGGCTATGAAGGCGATGGTGTCGTAGAAGGTGTTCTGGAGCAAGCACGGACCAAAGCAAGTGCCCGCAGGGATGCTGCGCGTCACGACCACGCTGGTGCTGAGATCTGGATGCTGAAGGAATTTGCTGTCGCCTGTCCAAATGGACCGAGGCAGCAAACTGTGATCCATCGTTAGACTGAACAAAACAAGATCAGATATATAAAAAATATATATTTTGTAATAGAGAGATCAATTTAAACATCTGAATAATTTTAAACCTTCAGGGAGGAAAAATCGTTCCAAAGCTTACATTTTAATCCAAACGCACAAATGTGTGAGATACATCAATCCTATACGTCATGATGCGTTTGTGAAACATTGTGTTGATGTCATTTCTTCTTTTTAATATAAAAGTAAAGATTCAACAAGGAGTCATGCGCAGCCGGTGTTGAAGCAAAACAATTTCTAACGTTCTTTGTCTCAGTTTTTCACTCGGTTACTCCTTTTGTCTCCGCATCTGGCGCGGAGTCCAACTGACTCCCCTGAGCGCAGAAGTTGTTCAGTAAATTAGAATAGCCTAATTCTGAAAAACACGAATAAATTACATTTAGGCTCATTTTGCGTAAAGTAATAATGTAATTTAAACTAATGCGAGCGTCGTGTAACGTTCTGGTGCCGGTGGAGGTGTGGGGTTTTATTTAAGCTTCCATTTGCTTTCTAAATGATCTAATAAGGAGAGATGGTTTCATGATGATGATGGACTCACCTGTGGGACATGGAGGACTTGTTTGTTCCAAGTGACCAAAGTGACAGAAAGTCGCAGGTGCTCTGGACCACAGAGATGAAGCTCTGCGCTCCGTTCGAATCCTCCTGCGCACTGAGGTCTCTCTCTCTCTCTCCTCTCCACCTGCACGTATCCTCTCCACAGAGGAAACTGAAGCCTGACGCTTGCATGGCGCATGGATTTAAACGCGCGCGCGCCCACGCTCAGGCGCGCTCTCGCACTCCTTTTATGTAGTTTATTGCCAGACTTAAAGTTCATTTTAAAAGAAAATAGCATACAGATAAAAGAAAAACACAAGAAAAGAAAATATACCAATTAACATTAATACCAATAAGATCCTATATGAAATCACAGGATATAACTGCAGCGGGAGTAAGGGACAACAAAACTAGTTGAGATAAATCTACCCAAACATTTTAGCCAGTGCTTTCTCAGCGTAGATATATCACAAGAGCAGCTCACAGTGAGATTTGAGAGTGCCATGGACGTAATTTGGGGGGGGGGGGGGGGACATGTCTCCCCCACTTTTTCCAATGTCAAGTTTTGACCCCTGCACTTTTACTATCCAAAAACAATATTAAGCTATATTAAATTGACACTGGTTGAGCTCTAGACCAAGCGGAAAACAACCGTTTGTGTTTCCCATTAGAACATACTGTAAAGATCCCCCCCCCCACACACACACACACACACACACACACACACACACACACACTCACACACACACTTCTAAAGTGAAAATTACGTCCATGGAGAGTGCAACAATATTGGAGGATTCTTCCAGCTGTCTCATAAACTTGAACATTACATTTCTTAAAAGTGCCTTAAATGTGCACACTCTCACAGAAACAGACATTTGACTACATCCTCCCCTATAGGAATTTAGAGGATTCTCATTGCATCATTGTATGCCACTTGTAACCTGTGCAAGCTAGAATTTTATAGAATGACCACAGATGTGCAGTATGCTTTAAATAATGCCACTTTAACAGGTGTGGAACAACAGCTGAATTTCTGTGCAATTTCCGTAGTGTTTGCTCGCACCTATAGCTTGCAGCACTGCCTGTAAATGTCATCATCGTCGCTCATATTGGCTGTGATAAAGTGTCCAAGATATTTTATCTTTTCACAGATGGCAAGACTGTTGCTGGACAACTTAAACACAGGAAAATTAAGCCTTTTATCCTGGGTGGTTCTGTAGATTAGAACAACACTTTTGCTCGAGTTATATTTTAAATCATATTCCATTCCATACCCAGTACTAACATCTAGGAGCTGCTGCAGTCCCGCGCTACTTGGGCTATGAACTACGAGGTCATCTGCATACATAAGGTGATTAATCAAAACATCACCTATCAAAGAGCCTGTGTTACAAGCTCTCAGGCGCCCAGATAACTCATCAACGTATATGTTGAACAAAACAGGAGATAAATTTCCACCCTGCCCCACACACTAAAGGGATCAGAAATACTACCTCCCCATTTAACATGCATCTTCTGGTGGGCATACCGCTAGGCAAGCACTCTCACAACACCTCCAGGCACACCCCTTTGCTTTAATTTAGTAAAAAGCTTTTTATGATTCACTCGATCAAACGCTTTGGAGACGTCAGTAAAACTCATGAGAATAGTAGAATTGTTTGATCTACATAGATTCCCTGTCCTTACCATGCTTAGACTTAAAACCAAACTGATTATCAGAGGAAAATAAATACCCACTTACTCTATCCAAGATGATTCTTTCCATAATCTTAGATAAAGTACTAGTCAATGTAATGGGTCTGTAGTTGTCGGCAACCAACTTTTCCCACCTTTTCCTTAGTAACTGGAACAAGCAATGTGGTCATCATTGTATTATGCCGTGAGACATAAAACCAGTAAAACGGATAGCTAGTAAGGGAGCAAGTCTGGGACTAGCATGTTTCAGATGTTCTGCTGTGACTGAATCCATGCCACATGCTTTACTGTTAGGTCATTTCTGCACAGCCTGATGTGACAAAATATTTATGGACTCATCTCTAATGATATAGAGTCCGCCAATTATAGAGGGAACTATAGTGCTGTCTCCATAGCTCTGCAATCATTACCTCTCCCGAAAGTCCTCCAACTGTAGAAGGAAGGAGAGGTTAACAATTATTGAGAGACCACCTCTTTCCAAAAGCCAGAGAAATTGTTTCTCCTTAGTTTATTTGCCAAAGAGTCAGCTCTCTTAGCTTGCTCATTCCTAGACATGAAACGAACAGCATGCTTATAGCTAGCTTTAGCTCGCTTTTTAATTTCTAGCTCAGGGCCCTGCGTGTAGGTCGTCCGTCCAGGACCCATAGTTTATAACTTTCACTAGCCTCCACATGACACGAGGCTACATGCTTATTCCATCCAGTTCAGTCAATTCTCTTTTGTTATTATTTCAACACATTCCTCTGTGAGAGGGAAGAGGATGTGGGTCCAAAAATGGAGAGAATCACGATAACCTGAGATAATTATGCATTTTTTCCTCCATCTCTTACATTTAATATGAAGAATTTGCTTCCTGTGTACTGGAGCTGCATGCAAAAAGATCTTTGTATAGAAGGGTTGGCGTAATAGGCAAATGCTTCAGCCAATACCTTTTGATTAGCCTTGTCTTTGTGGTTATTTTTTTTGTTTTTTTGTTTTTATTTCTTTAATATTTTGTTTTTCACTGAGATATTTGAATGCTAATCAATAAAGGAAGTAGTAAAAAGAATTTCAGTCTTTGTTGTGTGACTTTTGCGTGTGGGGAAAATAATTCCATGCAGTTTCATGCAGTTATTTTTTTAATTAGTCACACAAAATCAATTTATTCTAACTATAAAACAAGATTGTTCCACAATACTTCTGCAAAAAGAGGCAGCAATCGCACAAGTGCAGGGACCGGTTCAAATGACGAGTTTGAATCTTTTTATGAAACAGTGTGCATGGTGGTCTGGGCTCGCCACTGGGAAATGCATTATTCATGACTGTCTGGTGAGCCTTTAATCATTATTCTGCATTAACGCTTCAGTTTGGGGTGAATGTCCTGCTGATTGTTGAGCCAAAAACATTTTTTATGTGAAACTATTTACTAAAATGCCTTGAAGGAAGTGGATTTGGGAACTCTCTAACTGCCAAAATGCTGGTACTGAAGATCATTTTATTTGCATTTGTTGGAAGATCTCATAACTTTCATCCCTTTTATTTATCGATGCTCATTTCTTATTCTAAATGGTTTTGTGTTGTATACAGTTCAATTCAATTCAAAGATTATTAATCCCAGAGGGAAATTTGAGTTTCAGTACACACAATTCTGAGATCAGACATACATAGACAAAGACACATGACAAGAATTGGTGACTGTGGTCATTCGCAACCCGAGTTGCGCTACCTTAACAGAGATAAGAGGGGTTTACATGAGGATTGGGTCAGGTGGATGGGGAAAAAAAGGCACTTCAGTTACCCTCCACATTCATTCATTCATACACACATTCACACTGATGGTGCAACCCGGTGATGGTGATGGGGGCTACGATGACAGTGACAGAGGTGAGGCGAGGCAGCTGGCTAACAGCAGGCAAGGTGGGTTGGGTGTCTTGCCCAAGGACGGAGCCAGGATCGAACCTGCAACATTCCGACTGCTGGACAACCCACTCAACCTGTTGAGCTACTGCTGCCCTATTAGCATTAGTGATGGTGTTGTCAGGTGCTGCCCCAGATAAGCTGTGGGAAGGAGATTTTGGATTAAATCTTATTTTGAATGCACAAATGACTCTGATTGAATGGGTTTTTATGAGTTAGTGTTTATAAAGTCCACTGAAACGTGGCTAAAAGTAGATCCAATGTGCTAAAAAAAGAAGTGACATCATCCTTGATCGATTTTTGCCCTGCTCCTTTAATACATCAACCCTTTGGTTTGGGAATTTTGCTGACAAAGGAACCCTTAGAAATCCTGTCAGCATCACTTCCTCTGCAGTTCCGCTGGTTTTCTTTTGGGGGCGAAATGCTCGAGACAATAGAAGAAGAACTTTACATGTAAACACGTCTGTTGGACAGCTTCAGACTAAAATCACCAAATTTACTATCATAAATGAGTCACCTCTCTGAGTGATTAAATTTACTTTAATGTATTTACGCACATCATTATCTATGTAGATGATGAGTGGGATAATAATTAATAAACAAATCAAAATGTACGTATTAAATTCTGATTTTGTGCGTAATGGATCTGTTTTTTCACGAGATCCGATTCTGCACTTGTGGAATATTTGGGGAAGTTTTGCATCTCTCCTTGGGTGTCGCTCCTCTCCTTCATCCTGCCCTGCTTTCATTCTTTTTTTTCCCCCCTCAGCCAAGGAGAAGTCTTGAGAGCCAGACTCAAGCTGAGCAAGCCTTGCAGGCTGAGTGCGCTCGCCTCAACTCCAGGAATCCGAACAACAATCTGAAATCCACGCACGCAGCCTGCTGAAAACCCAGCGTGTGAAGAGGGACATGTGAAGTTCTTGAAGCTGCTGCGGTGTCGGCGTCGTCAGCGGTAACCTGGAAAGATGGCGTGGACACGGGCACGCCTGCTCATCGCCTCTGCCTTGCTTGGGTTTTTCCTTCTCGGTGCGTCGGTGGAAGGAGATCCGCGGGCAGCGCAACAGGAGGAGGAGAAGATGTCGTGTCAGGGCGCGTTTGACCTCTACTTTGTTGTAGACAAGTGAGTCTCCAGATTATTTATGGCATTGTTACTTTCTGGTCGCTGCGCATCGCCATGCAACAGACAAGCCTGGAAACGCAAACGCGCATCCGTCGGACGTCCTGTTGTGGCCTAACCTATTATGGAAAGGAGATGTCCAGTATATTTATGTCGATGGGCCTAACGGCACTTTAAAACTACAATTAGCCAACTCTTGAAGAGTTATGTTTCCCTTTGTGCCATAATAGTTCTTGTCAGTGCAGCATTGTTCCATAACGACTTTATGGAACTGATTTATGGTTATTTCTTGCGATTTTAAATGTTTTGGGTGTTTATTTATTTATTTTTTGCTTAGGGTTTAGAGGGGAGAGAATATCCTAGAGACTGGACACCATTTTTCCCCCATTTGGTTGAAAGGGGTGAGCTTTACCCACGGGATGTGGGCAGGGCGAGCAGGATAAAATTTCAGCCTGATGACGCCTGCGGATACAGCTGTAGGAGCTGCCCGCAGCGGTGCTTTTCGGCCCGGTGATCTCTTCAACTATTCCTCCCTTCTAGGAGGTGATCTGAGTCTTTGAATTTGACGTGAAGGACTAAAACCGTTATAGAGTTTAGGACTTTCACCAACAAGTTCTACATATGGATAGTGAGATTATCCCAAAACTCGTTATTTAATATTTTACATTTTTACTGCCAAGGTTTTAAGTCTAAATCTGTCATCTTGAATTGAGAAGTTGCAAAAAAAGCATCCACAAAATCCACTAACCTGCATGTTTCCATTGTTTCCCTGCTCCGGTACATCTGAGTCAGTGATGACATTCCCTAAAAATTCAACAGAAACATGTGAAATCACTCAATTCTAATCAGGTGTGTTGGCGCAGGAAAGGGTTTGAAAAATGCAGGATAATGACTTAAGTACTGTGATTTGACCACTGCTTTTTAAAAAAACGATGCAGCTTTCTCTTTCACACTTCTCCACTGAATTTAAAAGTAAGGCAACATTAAAGGTGTGGTTTACTTGTTTATTCAATGCATTTGCAGTGTTCTCTAATGCCTAATGAGTCATTAAAAAAGAAGCAATGATGCTCCTGTTCTGAGATGCAGACATTTGCTGATGCAGGGGTTGGCTGAAAACAGCAGGATTGTTCAATTTTAATGATATGCATACAATTTGCCTCTGATTGGCTAACAGAATGCATTCAGCCATGATGCCAAGTCACTATCACCAAGACATGCTCCAGTCTCTCTCCTCTCTGCAAAGTAAATTCAAAAAAGCCTAACTGTGGGTGGACACAAGCCAAGATGGGCGAGGCATGAATGCAAATTCACAGCGTGACATAAATATGTGAGGATTTTCAAATCCTAGATTTTCACCGTCTATTTTCTATCAGAGGCTAATGCAGTAGGTAGGTGTAGGAGACTATTTTCCTGTTCAGCCTTCATGAAAAACTCAGAGTGACTGATTATAATCAGAAATAATCATAAGAAATGGTTTTTCAGTGTTTCACATCTTTATGTGAGAGGTCAACTTTTGTGGTCTGGTTTCTAAGAACGGTGTTTGTGAAAAAGTGATAAATAATGAAATAATAAAGCCAGTGAGGCAGCAACAGAAATCTCACAAATGGAATGAGTCAATCACAAGGAAGAGAAATTAAACGATGCAAACAAACATCTGACAACGAGCTGGGAGGGTGTGTGTAAACTGGGAGGTGTGAGTAAGCTGAGTAACTGGAGCTGAAGCAAGTCACTGGGATTGAACTGAATACACACCAGTCACTGGGAAAGAAAAGTACAACACACACACACACACACACACAAGTACATTTTTAATAAGAAAAATACTCCACACAAAATAAGGAACAACAAACATGACCAAAAACACCAAGTGCCTCAGGACATCTTTTATTTATAAGGATTTTCCCATCATGCTTGTTTTAATTTTTCAATGAAGTGTTTAATGAAACACCTGTGTGGCTTCAGTTTAATACGATTCTTCAAATAATCCATTCAAAAATGCCTCCTACAGGCTTTGCATTTGCTTCACAATGCACAGAAATTTAATTTTTTTGGGCCGAAAACAACGTGGTGTGGCCCAAGTTTAGTTTTCTAGAAGAGCAGGGGACGATTTTCAGTTTACAAAAACCTGACGGCGTGTGTAGATGATCTAAGAATCAGTCAGTTCTATGAGTTTTCATTTGCAGTTGAAAAGTTCACTAGGTTGTGCCTCAGTCTGGAAAAAACATCTCTTCTCCAACTGACTTAACAGGTTGTGCTAAGCTGCACTGCCTTCATAACGGACTTTTCTGTGATTTATTTTGGCTGGAGATGCAAGGTGAAAGTATGAGTGAGCGTCGAATAATAATGAGTCAAGACGTGTTTTTAAAACAACGAAAGAGATGGATGTTGTCAAAATGTGTGTCTGAGTTTGTTGCTTTATTCTAGCAGAAGAATAACAGGCTGTGACATCAAAGATTTTCGTTTTTAAAGAGGAGTGCAGTGATTTTGTGGGAAGAAGATTGGAAGTCCTCAGACTGCTGTGACTTACTGGGTGACATTTAACTTGGACAGGTTAGATGATCTTTCACCCATCGGCATCGGCCAGTTGCTCTTTACCCTTTGCATCAAAAAGTTTATGAGGAGCCTGGGGAGTGTGGCGTGCCACGCCCGTGGTGTACCTCTGTTTGACCGTCTGCTGCATGCTTCAGCAGGCCTTCAGGAAGCAGCTGATCTTTCTCCTGGTGAGATATAGCACAGACTCTTTGGCTGTACATCCTAAATGCCAACCAGTGACCTAATCTAATATTTCTGTGACAAAATGCAGACCAACGGGGAGCGTCAGACATGTTATGCTGCTGCGTTAGAGGTGACCTCATATGTTCTGCCTCAGCTGCACCGGAAATGTGCTCTCCACTGAAAACAAATGAATTACCATAAGTGCCTCACCTTCTAAACTCAGTACCAGACCCACCATAAACACCAGACTGCATTTACATCAATACGTGGTCGCCCACAGACTGAATAAAAGATGCTTTACGCTGTTGTCTGATCCTAGCACAAGATTTGTTTTCGCTGTCGAGGGTAAAATTCTAATAAATTAAAAATATTCATCCCAGAGGGAAATTGAACAAACGCTTCCACATCTAGGCTTGTGCGACTTCAGAAATTGTGTAAAAATTGACTAAAAAAATCTGAGATTTTAGATTTTGACCCCCTTGCTGTAAAAAGTAATTGTTGGGATTGTTCATAAAAATTAAGAAAACAGCAAATCCTAAAATTTTAGAAGAGTTTGCTGAAGGGCTTCTTCTTCAGTGGTGGAGGCTCAGGCATGCTGTATACAAACTACTGCCAGCTGCTCCCTCTCTGTTGGACTTTGGTACTGCATGTTACTTCCGCGATTTAGATCCGGTGTCAGTGCAAGATCGGCTCGAGTGCAAGATCGGCTCGGGGTCCTTCGACTGCCGATGACGTCAAAGTACGGCAAACCCACTCGGACAAAATACACTACACATCTATACAGTTGGAAAGAATTTAGCAGTTTTGTTATTAAAATAATGTACAACGTAAGTTTGTGTTTATAATGGTATTTGTAAAATAAAACACTATATTGTATTCATGAGCACATCCCTTGAAGGATCATAGGTATTAGCAACACTTGTGAAATTGTATTTGCAGGAAAGAAGTGTGTCCCGTTTATTGAAGTATTTTGTGTTTAGTTTTTGACGTCTTGTCCATGCGTAGTTCAGTTACGCTCATAGCTGCTAGCCAAAACTCTGGAGTTAAAAGTTTTCTGGCTTTACTTATTTGATTGATGGTACTTTTACTTTCTATTAGACTCCAAATGTAATCATTTGGCACGTTTCTAATTCATAATTTGTAAGAATGTAATCGGTGATATTGGCATTAGCATTCCTATGGGTTTTTCCATGTATATTAGCATTGTGCTAACCACTCGCTGCCAAATTGCAGCCTTTGCGATTAGAAAATCTCCTTTTGTCACATCGCAATTTAATTGCACATGCAGTTAATCGTTCAGCCCTAATATACATGCGGCTCGATGCTAAAAGTGTATTTTCAAAGAGGTAATGATGGATTTCTTTGTAAAAGTTGTCCATCTTTCCAACAGAAAGATTTGCCTGGACCAACGTAACGTGATAACAACGTAACGTGATTACGTAATTCCGTAAGGTTCATGTTCAGCCAATCAACTACTTTGACGTCATCGGCAGTCGACGGACCCCGAGCCGATCTTGCACCCGAGCAGATCTTGTACCGACACCGGGGCTTTTCATAAAACATCCGGGGCTTCAGCCCAAGTAGCCGGGCCTAACGCCGCCCCTGGCCAACAGTAATATTTTATGTATTGTGCCTGGCTTTGCTCTCAAAGGTTTAAAATATTATGATATGGAACCCTTAAATTTCTTTCTAAACAAAATATTGATTTTCTGATAAAATGTTTTGTGACTTGAGGAACCTGGTCCCACTGGATCGTGGTTTTTATCCGCTTTCAGAGACGATAAACAGATCAGGAATTCCAGAGTTAAATGGGAGACAAAAGAGCCATTGTGAATCTTAACTAGCTCAGACTTTTCACTACATGGCTCTTTAAAACTCACACACACACACACACACACACAAACCCCTGCTGAGTGATGGTTCTAGGTCCTGCTGTTCTTCATGTCACAGCCTTTATACTCTTGTAGATACCAAACCTGTTGTTGGGCTGGCTATGCTCAGTGGAACCATCTGCTCCCCTAACACACACACACACACACACACTTGCACTGTCACGCTACCACCTATTCTACATGCCAGCTGCTTGCTACATGGTCCTTGCTAGCGGCAAACTGCTGCATCTGTCCTGATCTAACCTCAACCCTTTTGCTCAGCAGCAATTAGCCCTCATTATCATCCCCGTGGGACTTGGTTTCATCACAGAGACTAGTGTGTTTTTAAGCAGGATGGCCAGCAGCTCACAAGTTATGGTCTAAAATAATCAGATTCTAAAACTGAATTGCCATCCTGGTGTTTTTGCTGATTCGCAGATCTGGAAGTGTCAAGAATCACTGGAAAGAGATTTATGACTTTGTCGAGCAGGTGGCAGAAAAATTCATAAGGTGAAAGGAATCACTCATTCATTTTCTTGAATATATCTTATTTAACCGTTTTGTCTTTTAATAACGAAACAAACTTGTTTCCCCAGCCCAATGCTGAGGATGTCCTTTATAGTCTTCTCCACCAAAGGGAATATCATCATGAAGCTGACTGAGAACAGGTAGCAGCATCATGTGTCTTCCAGATGACTTTGGCTCAGGTCTAACTTCGGATATTTTCTGAGTCAGAATGTTAACTCAACCCTACCTCTCTGTTTGTTTCTGCTTTGGTAAGAACAGCTCGTGTTTCTCTTTGTTTATGTGGCTTTTTGCCTGTTTATCCTTCAGGGAGGCCATAACTCAAGGCTTAAGGGCTCTGTACACCGTGGTCCCTGGAGGAGACACGTTTATGAACTTGGGTTTGGAGATGGTAAGGCTGGGTCACACAAGTACTCGCTACTCAGGCAGCTGTAACACGACTAACTCGATAACTATGAAGAGGACGTTAACTTTGCTTTCTTAGCTTTCAAGATTTCTCAAGGAGGAAAACTATTCATTGACTGACAAATATTATTGTTATTGTCGAGGTTATACATTTATTTAAAATACATTTTTTAAACATTTTAGCTTTAACTCGTTCACTGCCAATGACGACTAAAGTCGTCATTTGCATTTTTTTACTGTGTGAGCGTCGGAACGTGCATTTGACCTGTGAGCTCCCTTTCTTAGGAGCACGAAATGGCAGCATCAGGTCACAAAATCACAGGAGAGTTGCAACTCCATGGTGATTTTGACAGTTTTAGCAAGGACAAAATAGCAACATGTCCCCAAAAAGGTTAATGGTTTATTGTCTCTTCTGTTTACCTCACCTATGGAGGTTTCACAGGAAATTATGTACTTTTTTTACGAGTTAGGCAACTGAAATTTGCACGTCATTTTAATTTTGAAAGTTTCCAGATGTCTTACGCTGTTTTTTTGTGATTTGACCTACGGCGTTTGACGCATTCTGGAAGCATAGCACATAAAATCTAAGTTCTAAGCGTACGCAATTCATCCCTATAATCATAAGCACCCATCCACTATAACAAGCAGCTAACAGCGGCTAACTGCTGCGTACCACAGTTCACGGACGTTTCGCAATGCTAACGTGTCTGGTGGAAAGGCCCGGTCATAAACAAAATGATTCAGACAAGTAAAAAAAAATCTACATTTGACCATTGCTGTAAATCCTGGTTTTTTTTTTTTTTGGTTCAGTTCTCTTTTCTATGACTTATAATTGTATTTATTCTAATTAATATTTTTCTAACACATCTCTTGTGCAACTGGCAATTTTCTAGTTTATTCTAACAAGTAGTTAATAGAGTAGGGATGGACATTATATTGGCATCAGTATCGGTATCAGCCGATGTTAGTCATTTTTTAACATATCGGTGTCGGTCCGATAAATAAAACCGGGCCGATATTAACAACCAATATTTTTTCCATTTGTTTGCCTGTTTCAGAGGGTGAGGGGGTGATGTGTATTTGTTTCGTCATGTGAAAAGTGAATGAAATCATTTCAGAACCGTAAATGTGTGTGGTGTGTTTACATAATTACGTAAATTCAGCTTTAATAATTTTTATTTTATACAAATTTGCTGATTTTAGAAGCATTCATGTCAGTATATCGGTATTGGCAAATATCGGTTATCGGCCATAACAGTGATATTAATATCGGATATCGGTATCGGCCCTAAAATTTCATATCAGTGCATCACTATAAAAGAGTATTTAGTGTTAGAATGGAGCCAAAATTTACAACAAAATTCTAATCAAATAAATGCTGAAAGAGTATCTGTACTGATTATTTGTCCAAAGTAGTTTATGCTTTGTTCGACCTTTAGTGATGCTTTCTTCACTTTTGCAGGCCAACGCACAGATATATCACGAAAATCACGGTAAGCTCCCAGTCGTGAACTCATCATGTTCTAGTGCAAAGTTTGGCAGAAAAAAATAAGTTCATTTTCTTGTATTGTCTGCAGGAACTGCCAGTGTCATCATCGCCCTGACCGACGGAGAGCTGAATGAGCGGCAGTTTGACACAGCTCAGCGAGAGGTAACTTTTTTATCTGCTGAGCTAAAAGGCTGATCTGGGCATTTGAAGATTTGTGATGTTTTTTGTGTGTTTTTATTGTTATTATTATTATTATTATTATTATTATTATTATTTTAACATATTCAGGAAATTTTGAATCAAATGATCTATTTAATGTAACATTCTGCTAGAACTGTAACTTTAAATGTGGAGACACAGTTCAATTTATTTTCATTTAAAAGCTTTACCAAATGTATTTAAGAACTATTATCCTATTTAAAACTTTATAACATTGATTTTCAATGAAATGCATGATTGTAATTTCGTCAGATCTGCTGACTAATTGTTTGTTTGTTTGTTTTTTTTGTTTGTTTGTTTGTTTGTTTGTTTGTTTGTTTGTTTGATTGATTGCAGGCACAAAGAGCCAGGTCTCTGGGAGCAATTGTTTATTGTGTTGGGGTCAAAGATTTCAACCAAACCCAGGTGAGACCCGCTGGGAGAAAAAATATCCCAAATGCACAAAAAATGAAAAAGGATACATTCTTTAACTGTTTTTTCTTCCTTTTTTAGCTTGCAACTATTGCAGACAGTATTGAACATGTGTTTCCTGTAGTCGGAGGCTTCCAAGCCCTCAGAGGAATCATCGACTCGGTATGACACACACTCATACAGCGCCACATGCACGCCATGTAAATACTTGCCCACACAGAGAGACCCATTAAACCATATAACTAAATTATCCCATAACTTTTGTGCGTGTGGTTTTTAGATCATCAAGAAGTCTTGCATAGAAATTCTGGCAGCTGAACCATCCAGCGTGTGTGCAGGAGGTAAGGGGTGTGAGGGGCCGAGGGCTGCAGTGTGGCCCGGCCATGGTGCGTGATTGTGTCAGTCATCAAAAGCTTTCAGAGTGGAACATGACATTGAGTAATTGCATGGATGCTCATGACCGCAGAGTGACAGAGAGCGTATTGTCATTCACAGCCAGGGGAAATGAGCATAGCTGCTTCTGCAAAGTGTGTCTGCAAAGAAATAAAAAGGAGGAGGGGTGCTGGTCAGAGAAATTAGCCATGAATCTTTAAGCATGGCTGCATCTCTGGTCTAGTTTGCCACAATGCACATTTAAATATAAATGCAAACAAAGCGTTTTAGAGTTGTTGTCCTTATCTGCATTCTTCGGCTCTTGCAGGAAGTTAAAGAAATTAAAAATGTGGAGGAAAATATTGCTGAGAACGATCGTTAATGTGTAGCCTGCACGATGAATGAGCTTTGGCATGACCTTATTAGGACTCACTTAAGAGAGGGCATTTATGGGCCTGCTGCCAGGACAACCAATGGCGATTATTATGGGATATGACCGATGAGAAAAGAATGTTAAAAGAGCAAACAAAGAAGTTTCTTTAAAAGAGGTCGAAAGCGAGATTCCTAAAAAACAACTATTGTTTTCTAGTCAGGATTACACTTTCTGGTTTCTTGCCAGTGTGCGAGCGTGTGTGTGTGTGTGTGCGCGCACGCGCGCATGTGTGCATGCGAGCGTGTGTGTGTGTGCGTGCGTGCGTGTGTTTTCACAAATATCCTCCAACAGCCTCATTTATTATTCGATTGATGAATCGCTTAATGGTCAGTGAACTGAGACCCGCTTTAACCGAGACCTGATTCTGGCCTAATTAATGAAGATGCTTGTGGCAAACATTTGTCTAGCGTTGTTTTGAATTTTTATATATGTGTGTGTGTGTGTGTGTGTGTGTATATATATATATATATATATATATATATATATATATATATATATATATATATATATATATATATATATATATATATATATATATATATATAAACATGTTTAAAACTGCACAGAAATTTCCATCTTTTTGCAACCTCCCGATTCGTGACTTGTGTCTTCCATGTTGTGACAATTTCTTACTTTTTTCTCTGGCTGCATGTAGTCACATAGCATATCGAACATGTTTTGAGACATCACACACATTTAGGCGTTGTGTAGTCAGTGAAAGCGCGCACACACACACACACACATGCAGGCTCAGGAACACATGTCCCTCATGCTGATGCAAAGTGACCAGACTGAGCCGCCTGCAAACAGGCCATCAAACTGGACAGAGAACACTGGGCCCACTATCGGACATGACAGGGCTGATCCCCCCCCCCCACACACACACACACACACACACACAATGAAGACAGTGAAAGTTAGGCCTTAGATTTAACATGACAGGAGAGATTGCTGCTTTCATTAATGTCTGACCCCTTCCTCTGTCTTGTCTCTTCCTTTATTTGCCCCTCCCTGCCTTTCACTGTCCTCTTACACTAACGTGATTGAAGATCCGCCATTCGGACAAGTCGTTCTACGTTTTTCACACACACACACTCACACACGTGTGCTCCAACAAAAGACATCCTTAAGCTTAACAAAACACAAAGGCACATTAAAATCCATGTCAGACATTTAGGTGTAGACGCAAAGGGGCTTGGGGGTCAAGGAGGCCAGCAGGGAGCAGACTGGAGAGGGCAGCAGCATATGGGTGGTGCTCGTCAGCGTGGCAACACCAGTCCCTGCCCACCATGTGTCTGACAGCACTGACCTTTCACTTCATCATGCTTTGGTGTTTGAAGACAAAGTTCAAACTGACACTTTTATTTAAGCAATGATTTTGAGTAAATGAATCTGCTAAACACTGAGTAAAATCAAATTAGTTTTTTATGTCCTCACCATGAGAGTAAATTATAAAAAATACTTATTGTTTAATTGTTTAAAATGTATATATTTTTATTATTAATTTGATTTAATTAATTGTAGCAAATATTATATTATATTATATTATATTATATTATATTATATTACATTACATATATTATATTATATTATATTATATTATATTATATTATATTATATTATATTACATTATATTATATTATATTATATTATATTATATTATATTATATATATTACATTATATTATATTACATTATATTATATTATATATATTATATTATATTACATTATATTATATTATATTATATTATATATATTATATTACATTATATTATATTTTATTTTATATTATATTATATATTATAATGTCTGGGGCTGCACAGTGGTTAGAGCTGTTGCCTTGCAGCAAGAAGGGCCTGGGCTCGCTTCCCGGCCTGGGATCTTTCTGCATGGAGTTTGCATGTTCTCCCTGTGCATGCGTGGGTTCTCTCCGGGTACTCCGGCTTCCTCCCACCGTCCAAAAACACGACTGTTAGGTTAATTGGTCTGTCTAAATTGCCCTTAGGTGTGAGTGTGTGTGTGCATGATTGTTTGTCCTGTGTGTCTCTGTGTTGCCCTGCGATGGACTGGCTCTCTGTCCAGGGTGTAGCACGCCTGATTGCCCATTGACCGCTGGAGATAGGCACCAGCCCCCCCCCCCCCCCCCCCCCCCCCCCGCAACCCTACGTGGACAAGTGGGTACAGACAATGGATGGATGGATGGATGGATATTATGTCTGTAATAAAAAGTTTGCTGATTCTGCTGTTTGTGAGAAGATGTGCTGCTGACTGGGTGGTGTGAATGCACGTTTGATCAATCTGAGTTTACCGCAGTTGGAAATGACATAGCAGTGGTTGACTGACAAGCTATAAATCACTAAACATCTGTAAACGAGTGCGGCACACACATCTGGATAGAGACACAGTCAGACAAGGTCAGCTATGTGCACAGATAAATGACCTTTAGAAACTAAATAAATGCAATAATACAGATTTATTTCAGTGCCATTCTTGTTTTGCCAGAAACATTAACACTTTTCCTCTAAAATGCATAAAAAAATGCAATTCTTTCCTCTTTAGAAACCTTGTAAATTATATTCTCCTTTCAGTAGGTCTCTGTATTGTATATAAATAAGTTGTTTACCTTGTAGCTGCTTCTCTGACGTTTAAGACACACTGCTGCTGATGCTTTAAAAATAAAAGTGTGGCAAATGTTGACTTTCATTAGCTAAAATAATAGGAAACGGCTCATGGAGACCGTTGAAACTCACACAGAAACATTTTACATAATTAAATGAGTATACATTCCTCATGACAAACACAAACTCATTTCTTAACATCATGCATGCACACACATCTGCATGGATACACACAAATGCCAAGCCACGGTGCCATAGGTGAAGTCAGACCTACTTTGACAGAGCTGTGCTGTTGTCGGCCTTGCAGGCATGTTTTTAAGCAGGTGTTTTTTCCTCGCTCTTTAACATATGCTGGGTAGCAGCCACATAGACACTCCAGCATATGCTGGCAAGCCTCTGTCAGTGCACTTTAACGGTGCCTGGGGGAAACTAAAGGTCAAAGACACACACACACACACACAAGCACACACTCCTCCTGGCTACTGTGTTGTCTGGGATATTTGTGAATAGCAGCACTTTTAGCATTAGCACCACTGGAGCGTATTATGGCCTTTCCACACATGCACGCACAAGCACACTGATATAAACAAACAGTAATGAGGCATGCATGAGTTTCTGCTGCTCTAGTTCAGCCCATTGCGGTGAGAGGAAGGTTGTCGGTGCTCTGTGTAATTGTACACTGGAACAAAGGAGCAATTTTGATGTTTTATGACTGACTCAGATAAAAATACATGCGTTACCACGAGTGTGAGTGCTATCAATCATGTCTGATGACTGTTGCTTGCAATTTTGTCTGTGTCTCAGAGAGTTTCCAGGTGGTTGTGAGAGGGAACGGTTTTCTGCATGCAAGAAACATCGATCACGTCCTCTGCAGCTTCAAACTGAATGAGACACACACTGTGGGTGAGTTCTGCAAATGTGGACAAGCGTCCACATTTATGTGGGCTTAGAATGTACTCACAGATGCTTAAACATTTCTAGATGCAAGGCTGCCAACTCTCACGCATTGAGCGTGAGACACACTCATTCGAACCTCCTCACACGCTCTCCTGCCACACCTCCAATCTCTCACGCTAAACCAGCGCATGTGCTCCCCAAACGCGCATCACGCACAGTGCGTAGGGCTTACGAAAAAAATTAAAAACATGATATTAATTATAGCATTAGCTACTGAACAACATGCACACAAACAACACTTATGTAATAATCTAACTGGCGTTATTTCACACACAGAATCCCGTCTGTATAATCCAAGCCGATGAGTTTGTTTCGCTCTGGTTGTGAGATGGGCGGAGCGGTGAGCTCCACCTGCTGGTGATGGGACGGGCATGCCTGGTTCTTTCTCCCAGAACCGTGAGCTGCAGCTGCACACGCCGTCAAAATAATAATAATAATAATAATAATGCGTTGAACTTATATAGCGCTTTTCTAGACACCCAAAGACGCTTTCACACACTCTCACATTCACACACTGCTAGTGATGGTAAGCTACTTGTAGCCACAGCCGCCCTGGGGAGGTCTGACAGAGGCGAGGCTGCCATTTGGCACCGTCTGCCCCTCTGACCACCACTAACACAGGCAAGTTGGGTGAAGTGTCTTGCCTAAGGACACAACAGCAGGATACCCCTGGCAGGAGCTGGAATCAAACCCATGACCCGCTCTACCACCTGAGCTACTGCTGCCCCAAATAATTGAAAATGACATGATTTATTTAGACAGACAGACAGACAGACAGACAGACAGACAGACAGACAGACAGACAGACAGACAGACAGACAGACAGATAGATAGATAGTGTGAAGAAGTTTAGGGGAGTAGGATGTTAAATTTTCCTCATGAAAAGAAAATTTGTATTAAACAAAGGTCAGTTCCCTCTGTAAAGTCAAGTACGGAAGAGGATTAGGGCCACTGAAAAGAAAAAAAAGAAAAGAAAGAGAATTCTGACTTTTTTCCCTGAATTCCCTGTTAGAATTCCGAGATTAAAAGTCATAGTTTTGAGAAAAAAAGTCAGAAGTCTGAGAAAAATGTAAGAATTCTCTTTCTTTTCTTTTTTTTCTTGTCAGTGACTCTAATCCTCTTCCATACAGAGTAGAAATAAATAAATAAAATGTAGAGCACAAAAAGTCCCCCCCCCCCCCCCCCCCAGACAGTTGGCGAATTGTCCGCTCCCAACCCCATGATCCCATCTCACTCTTTGAAATGTTCAAAAGTTAGCAGCGCTGCCCTGTAGATGTGTGCAAAAATCAAGCGCTCATTGTATAGTTATGCATTCAGAAATAATAGTTGTATGTGACAGTTTTAAATAAGGTTAGACTATTTAGAATTAAATATAAATGATATGCTAAATTTAAATCCTCACACTTTGCGTTTCCAAATTTAGATGTCATTTGAATGTTGATTCTAAATATTTCATTTGAAGTGAATTTGATAATTCCACACCACTATTTCATCATCATGGGGTGTTAAATGGGACTCAAAATGGCTGTCAACACTAAACTATTTTTTTACTTCAAGCAAGAGCTTTAAAATTGATCTCAGTGATTGTTGAGGAAGAAACTTGTCCAGTTTCATGTTTAACACTCTCTGCAGCCCTCTGCTGACCAAAAACCACACTTGACAGTTTTGTGGAGCCGATAGGTGCTCTAATGGGCGCTCTTTACCTGCTTCCCTGCTGTTAGCTAACTTCCGTGCCGGTAGCTAATAAAAGGCTAGCAGTTAGCTTATTCTGTTAGTCAACCGTCAATAAAAAACACTAAAAGAAGAAGAAAAAAGAAGTTTGTTCTTTTGTTGGCATCGCGGTTTGAGCCTGGAAGGAACAGTCAGGGAATTATGTCTTTGGAGGTAAAGCAAAAAAACTGAGTGAAAATTGGCACAGCCTACACTCTTTTGAGGGAGTTGAAGGAGGCTTTGAAATCATGGACTGATGGTGGCCTGGCTTTGTTGAGATTTGTTAGTGATAATAGTTTTTGTCCAACAGTGTGAACCATAATTTGTGGCTTATTGAGTAAGACTTGGCTCATGTTGGTGTTAGCTCGTTGTTAGCGCGAGCTACAGCAGACCGCTGCAGGGTTGTTTATGTAATTCCACTTTCAACCAGTAGGGCGGAGGAGCAGGAAACTGCTCTGTGTCACTTTAAACATTGCAAATATCTGCATGTAATGTGCTTTAAAATGGCACCCCATATAATGTTTGCCATCACAACTCTTTTAGATGTAACTTTTTATTTGTTTTTGTTTTGTTGATTTAAATAAATGCCCAAAAGTTTATTTGTGTTTGATAAAAATGTCAGGATCACTTGACACAAGGGGAAAACTCTGCAAGTTAAGATGAATTAAAAATCAACACAACAAATAATTTGCTTTTTGCCCCTTATGTGCATACAGCTTTCTACTTTTACACTAAAATTGGTTTTATGTTATATTGAAATCTCAGAAACAACAAGGAGGAAACTTGCAATTGCTTGAAGAGATACTTTGCAGGTTTTTCAGATTTTTAATTCATTTTCTTTAGTATGTGCTAAAATGACCCTTTACATGATTAATGAAAGGCCACTCAGCCCCTATCACCCCCTGCGGCCATAATACCGCATTCACAACTTCAGACTGCCGGTCCCGTCTGTTTGGACTTTGAAAACAACTGAGCTGACATACCTGGCGCTGCAGTGTGGTTCAGTTTCCTGCATGTTTTAGATCCTGAACACAGCAGATTTGTTAAATTTAGTGCTGAACCGCTCCTGTAGACACTAAGGAAGGCTGGGGAGACATTTCAGCTGCTAGATTAAGGTGTTAAAATGACAGAAGTGCAGCGAGGAGATAGATTTTGCTTTCAGTTCTACAAACGGACACTGGGGGCGCTAAAGGCAAGCCAAAACTGCCTAGTTCCCCTTTAAATGATTACCTGATGAACGTTTTCCTCTTTCCCTGTGTAGATGAAAGACCAGCTGGAATAGAGGACACCTTCCTTCTGTGTCCTGCTCCTGTCATAGAGGAAGTGGGGAAGTAAGTCTCACCTGTTTGCTTCCTGGTTTTCACCCCAGAGTGTTTCTCATCTGCCGTTCCAGTCTACAGACAGCTAGAACACAGATATTTGTCAAGTTTTCAGTGGATGCAGAGACTTTTGTCCTTGAAAAAATTAGGGCCAAAGTCATTGTGTGTCTGTGATCAATCAGTGTTTGTCACTGCTAACGAAGCCAGACACCAATCACAAGGGGACGGCAGGAGCAGAGCCCAGGAACACGACTTAATGAGTGTGTGTGTGTGCGTGCGTGTGTGTGTGTGTGTGTGTGTGTGTGTGTGTGTTTGTACTCTCTCAGAGATAAATGTGTGAGTGCAGACACCAGGCAGTGTAAAGTTTCCTCTCAGCAGATTTGCTCCTGGTAATTGAGCACATTTTTCTCTTGGAGCTTTTGGTCCGTGGCATCCGGCAGCGCTCCCGTCTCTGCTGCCTGCAGCCACGTCCATAATTATACATTCAGCCCTGCAGCCTCAGACACCTCCTAGTCATCATCTGTCCTGTTACTGTCACTCAGATTTCCACCATGATGTGAGTTTCTCTCATCTGTCAGTGAGAAGTGTTACTTTGATTGTAAAATACTATTCAGTTTCCACTCTGCAGAAATGTGAAAATCTGTTACATTTCTTTGCAAATTGTCAAAGCTTGCACGTTCCACCCGTGCTTTTCTACATTTTGAAAGTTTTGCTTCATAGCACAAGGATTCAGCTCTCCAGAGTCATAAGGGGGAGAACAGGAAACATCATCAGTGATGCCTGAAGGAGTCGGCTCTCTGTGTTACTGAGGCCCATCAGAGCAGAGTCAGCTCAGCTCAACAGCCTGAGTGCTGCTAAAGAGGATGTCAGCTGTGGATGGCTGAAGGGCCCAGAGAGAAGACCAACAGCTGGCTGATGAATCTACATGTGGAAACATGTCAGGAGGTGAATGTAAAACGGTCCAGACTGACGAGACAAAATCCTTCTGGAATGTTAAGCGTCCTCTCACCAAAATTCAATTTTCATTCACTTCCAAAGTTGTCTTGTTGCTAAATATCAAACCACTGATGTTGTTAAATAAATATTTTTGTTGGATTCGCCACCTTTGCACATTTATGCGCACACACACACAATCACGGGTAAAATGTATACAGTAGGTTTTCTGAACAGAAAGCCCCTGACTGCCAGCGTTTTTGAGCATTTGCACTGTTTTTCGAAGAGTCACAGAATGCTGTGCTCTGTGATCATGAAAACACCAAAACTGGCAAAAGAAAGAGTAGACTCACTTCTTACTTCAGGAAGAATCAGCGTGTTATAGCTTTCTTTCACAGTCCACTGTCGAAGTGTAAGCTGCAGAAGCTTTGCAACAATCTCCTAGTTCATGAATAGTCCGCTTGATGATCACGTGATGTGTGACACGCGACGGGTGAAAATTACCATTAGAGCCAGGATGTTTACTCTCAAGGTGCGCAAGCTCGCTTGCCTCGTTAAAAAACGCATTTGACGACTTGAGTCATCCTGACCAGGCTCAACTGGCTCCTCTCGATGTGGAGGAGCAGCAGGTCTACTCCGAGCCCCTCCCGGATGATCGAGCTTCTCACCCTATCTCAAAGGAAGAGCCCAGCCACCCTGCTGAGAACGCTCATTTTGTGATCTCGTTCCTTCGGTCACTACCCAAACCTCGTGGCCATAGGTGAGGGTAGGAACGTAGATCGACCGGTAAATAGAGAGCTTTGTCTTCTGACTATGCTCTCTCCTCACCACGACAGAACGGTACAACGCCCGCATCACTGCAGACGCAGCACCAATCCACCTATCGATCTCATGCTCCATCTTTCCCTCACTCGTGAACAAGACCTCGAGAAACTGAAACTCCTCCATTTGAGGAAGGCCCTCATCCCTGACCTGGAGAAGGCATTCTATCCTTTTCCGATTCAAGACCACGGTCTCTGATTTAGAGGAGCTGATTCTCATCCCATTTTTAACAGTTCATATTTTATTTATTTGACACATGTTAGTTGGTTCTCACTTAATTCTGCATTATTCAGACTTTTTAGGCTTTTATTCTGACGGTTCTGCCGACAGCTTTTTGATTTTGAAAGAAAACCTCGGTGGAAGGCGCCTATCGGTGCTTCGATCTCTGGCTGGAGTTGTTTGCCTTACTCAAACTTCTACTGAGACGTTTGTTTAAAAAGCAAAAACAAAATCAAGGTTCAGCAAAAGCAAAGAGCTGTAGACCGAAACAAAGCGTCAACCATTTCCTTCTCCTGGGTCTCAGAGTGTGTTCTAGGCTCCGGTACGGGGTGTTGAAAACAGACTGAGGGATTGAGAAGGGGTTCTCAGATGGGAGGGATGATGCTAAAGGGATGTAGAACAGGAAAAGCCTTTCACGTACCATCCCCCCATGCTCTGTTTCCTCTCCATGCCCTCCCACCACCCCTGCAGTGACCTCCATCTTGTCACCCCGTCCTCAAATCTAAACCTACAGCTCAATGTCCCCCCTTGTCTCTGCTGCCTCAAACCACCAGAACAAGAAGCCTTTCTTAACTAGCAACAGTCTGCCAGTGTGTTCAGTTTTTGTTCATAGACTCGTTCAGAATAACACACACCTAGTCATGTACAGCTTTACTTCTGTCTGAGCCTTTATCGTGTCATCGACTAAAATTTTTTTTTATTCAGATCTCCCGTCCCCACCCAGCCCATCTGGGTGAGGTTATATAAGCATTAAATTCTGGAGAATAAGAAGCAATCTGTGGTTTCCACATTCGAGCTCTGGGTCCCATCTAGGCAGAGGGGATTCTTTCTGTGGGTGGAGCCCTCCTTGACCTCTCCACATGGCTTCAGATCAGAGTGTTGCTCGGCATGTTTGTGTGTTTTTGAAGCAGCGAGTACAGACAGAGTCGGAATGGGTTTTGATGCTTCGTGTGAGCGTTGAATCGGTTAGCACGAGCAGGCAAACTCGTGATGAGCGTGTTTTCTGTCTTTGTCAGGGTGGTTTACCTGCAGGTGACCATGAACGAAGGCCTCTCCTACATCACCAGTTCTGTGCACATCACTACCACGGAGTGTGTGAGTGTAAACACCACAACAAAACATGAGCAGGATTATTTCTCCGAGCATGCTGCCTTTTAAAAAATAATCTCTCTTCCAACTTCTTTTCCTCCTCATCCTCTCCTCTGGCATCAGAGGAGACTGTGAGTACTTTACTCATCTTTTCCCCCCTTTTTTTCGTCAGCAGCTTTTTAGTCGGGTTTAACGTTTCGTTCTGTGTTTGGGCGTAGTTCGACGGCACCATAGTGCTAATTTCCCTGCTGGTTGTATTCCTGCTCGTGGCTCTGCTGCTGATGTGGTGGTTCTGGCCCCTCTGCTGCACCGTGGTGAGTCTGATCCTCTAACTCTTACATCCCTGACATCAGGGTTGATGCTTTTACACGAGTCCACCTTTGATTTTCCTTTTTTTCCACCTCATTATCAGGTAATCAAAGAACCTCCACCGCCTCCACCTCCAGAGCCAGTGAGTCCCCCATGTTTTTGTTCCTATTAAAAAAAATGAGGTAATATGAACTGAATAATGACCAAATGTTCAATGAAAGGAATCTGATGATGAAGACGGAATGCCCAAGAAGAAATGGCCCACAGTGGATGCTTCGTATTATGGAGGAAGAGGAGTGGGCGGTATCAAACGCATGGAGGTACGAACTAGGAGTAGACAATATATTGGTCTGCTAATAAATCGGCCCGATATTTACAGCTTTTTTACATATATTTGTCCTTATTAAAGCCGATATAAATCAGGCACATCCTCGGGCAGCCCAGTGCTGATGCAGAATTTAATTTAAATGTACTTTTACATTCACAAATAACGTTTGCATAATAAATACTCTAAATTAAATGTATTTAGGTGTCTGACTTTAACACTTTGCAGTGCACAAAGTTAAGATTTAACTGTTAGTTAAATTCAGAGTTCAAAAACTGATTCAGCTTCAGTAATTTAGGGCATCAACTGATGTCATTAGTAACGTTTTAGCATTTAAGGTGTAAAATATCTGGAAATCGGCCCATAAAAAACGGCAGTACATATCGACCGTGTCTCCTACCTGTCAGCATCGGTATCGGCAAAAGAAAACTATTGGTCGACCGAACACACACCCAAACGTCTGCAGGAATGTAAAAAGAGAAGATAAAGTGTGTTTCATTTGTATTTTTGTGATTTTAAGGTGCGTTGGGGAGAGAAGGGATCCACTGAGGAAGGGGCTAAACTGGACAAACCTAAGAATGCAGTTGTGAAGATGCCAGAGCAGGAATTCGAACCGTACGAGCCCAAACCCAGAAAGCCTCCCCGCAGGCATCCTCAGCAGAAGAAGTGGTACTCACCCATTCAGGTTGGTTGCTTTTAGACATTTATCTTTTCCAAAAACCAGAATTCATGTATTTTATTTTAAAAATTCCCATTTTTGTGACATTTCCAGGGAAAACTAGATGCTCTGTGGGCTCTGTTCAGAAGAGGTTATGACCAGGTGTCATTAATGAGACCTCAGCCTGGAGATCAGGTGAGTCTGCATCTCAAACACAACTTCATCACAAACACACGACTCCAACAAGTTTGGACTTTGGGTCAAATCTTTATGCCTTCTCCACGCGTAACACCCACCTCTTAGTAAGATGCTGCAGGGGATTTTCTCCACATCCTTCCATCTCATTCCCTAATAATTAATAAGTCACTGAGCAACGTGTACAGTTCTCCTCTACATGCACATTGAGTCAAAGAGCTACTGATACCACTCGCCTTGTCAAAGCTGCGATTGTTCACACACAAGGAGTCCAGTTGTCTCCTGTACTTTCCCCCGTAGTTCCCAGCTAATGATCAGGTGTCTGAGTCGCTATGGTTACACCCTCTTTAACACTTTGATTTTACTAAGCTAAGGCTAAATGTTGTGTTGCACAGAAAAGATGTTGGTGCTAGCCAAATGAGACGTGTGTGTTGTTTCTGAGTGTGTGGCAGACGAGGGAGCACATAACTCTCTGGTTTCTAATCTTGACCCCGTGAATGTCATCTCATAACCCCAGAGCCGTGTTTTCATCATCTCGCTGGTCGTCATGGTGAAACATCTGCACCGTTTCTAAATGGTATCATTGTCGCTCATTGAGTTGTGCTTTGACTGTCACGGTTCTTCCTCGTTGAGGAACAGTGGTAATGATAGTGGTTAACATGATGGCTTTTTTCCTCTTCGTACATGCCGAATTTTTATTTTACTATTCAGAAGAATACGTGTCACTCAGGGCAGAAGTTTCTGGAGTCTTTGTCAGCCACTTTCTGTGGGACGGTGGTTCACAGATCCTATCAACAATGAGCTAACTCCCTTCACGCACCATTAACTGAGGAAAATGAAAAGCTACGTCTCGTGACATTGGGTGGGTGGGCGAAAAAAATCCATTTTTGTTCTGAGGGAGGTGATGCAGGAGTTGAGACGACTTATTTCTCACAGAGCTCAGATTTAAAATCTCGAGTAGCGATGCCAAACATCAGACTCAGATGGAGCTTGTTCTCCTTTTATCACTCCTAAATCATTTCCTCTGTGAACAGCCTTCAGTGGACTTCCAGTTTCTGCCATCTTGTTTTCCACTGTGTGTCCATGTGTGTGTGTGTGTGTTAGCTTTCCCCCCCAGTAAGCGCCCCACAAACAGATGGGGAGTTGAAAGGCCACGAGCCATGTCATGACAGACGAGATTCACTTCCTTTGTCCCTGGAGCTGATGGCACTGTTGGTCCCGTCACACAGCTCTGGTCTGACCAGAGGGAGGCCACCAACCCTAACACACACATGAATACACACACAGAGAACAGAGATGCACCATCCCTTCTCTAGCATCTTCCTCCATCACTTCTCCTAAAGAATCTCTTTAAATAAATTATTAAAGATGCGGTTGACTGAAAAAAACAGGCTCTGAGTTTTTCATGCAGAAACATGAAAAAAGTCTCCTACGCCGATCTCCTGCAATAGCTGATAGAAAATAGACAGTGAATCTCTAGAATTTGTAAGTCCTCACAGATCTACGTCACAATGAATTTGCATTCCTGGACTCACAACTGTTGTTGTTTTAGCGCCCGGGAATCAGAAGAGCACTTCTCTGCTAATTTAAGCTAACCGTTAGCATTAGCAACTCCACCACATGGCAGAAGTTTCTCCGGGTGGAGATAAATATCCACAATGCAAGTCAGTGGTAGAGTCTGTGTGTTATCCAGTCTGAGGAGGGATCAGAAAATAAGACTCTTGAACCTGCCGTCTTTGTGGGCAACTTTTAGGTCCGAGAAATGGTGCACCAATGCTGGTGCGTATATTTTCAGCTGCAATGTTGTGTGTGTGTGTGTGTGTGTGTTCCATGTAAATATCTACACACAGTCAGCCCCATATGTGTTTGTGAAGGAAAGTAAATGTCTTTGGGGTTTAAAAGGAGAAGCGGAGATGAGACAAACAGCTGCTAGAGGAGTTCTAGGGCTTTGTTTTTCTTCTGAGAAGGATGTCAGGGCTTGAAGTAATCAATCGCCACGAGAAGAAGCAAAGCTGTGACAGATAACACAGCCGAAGGGCCACAAAGACTGACCAGTGACATTCAAGAGCTTTAACGCAGCTAATTCGTGTAAACCTGTTAATGGTCTAGTAATGTTTTGTGTCCCGTTTTCCTAACCTTTAATTTCTCCTCCTTTTCATGGTATTATTTGTGAATTTTCATTCAGGCCATATGCTCTGGTTGGAGGCATGTTTACAGGCTCACACACACAAACACACTCATATTCATGAGCTTGTGCTCTCATTGTGCCCATATGCTCTCTTTCGTGTTGTTCTGCTGCTCTGCTACTCACAAACTGGCCTTTTCACTGCAGCCCAGCAACAACACAGAAAACATTACACCCTCCCCTTCCAATCCGAGCTGTCCTCAATCAATTACACACCCCTCATATAAACACGTAAACCCACAATGGCCCCCTTCAGTCACAAAGCTACTGCCAATGGGGTCCTCTAATGGCCCCTAGGTGGCTTTAGGGCCTCTCTGCTCAATAAGGTACCATAATCAGACCACCAAGGGTCTGTGACTCTTGGACCTACTCTTCATCGCTCACACCCTGTCTGAGAAAAGCAAGTATAGACGGATAATACAAGGATCATCCCATTCTTCCAGACTTGTAAATTCTGTCAAACAGAATTGATGGTGGAGATATTTCAATCCCTTCTTTACGTGCCTCTAAATCACGTTTACGAGAAACACGGCATACTTTCTGCTCTAAAAGGTCAGAACAGAGGCTACCCAAAAAGAGTAGAAGGAACCAAAAAAGCTGTGTGTGTGTGTGTGTGTGTGTGTGTGTGTGTGTGTGTGTGTGTGTGTGAGTGTGAGTGTGAGTGTGAGTGTGTGAGTGTGAGTGTGAGTGTGAGTGTGAGTGTGAGTGTGTGTGTGTGTGTGTGTGTGTGTGTGTGTGTGTGTGTGTGTGTGTGTGTGTGTGTGTGTGCTCATCTTTACTAGCATCAATGCTACTCTAGTGCAGGTGGACAGAACACAGAAGCGGTTCTGTCTGCCTTTCGAGGTCTCGGACACATGTGCATTTGTCAGTAAAGCTGGGCAACGGTTCACAGGAAACATTTTGGCTGCTGGATCTGAGGAGCTCATTGATTAGAAGCGATGTCATTTAACTGTTACTCTCTGCTTTAAAGAGGACATATTATGCAAAAATCACATTTTGCTTCCTTTTGTTGTGCCATGTGGGTCTCTACTACTTCTATAAACGCTCCAAATATGGAAAAGAAACAATCCAATCATTTTCTGTCAATGAAATTGCGTTCCAAAAACAAGCTGTTTCAAAAAGTCCCTGTTTATGACATCACAAATGGGGAAATTAAAATAGAACCACTGAGCTGCTGCTAGAGGAGCGGCGGCTCTTCTCTGAGCCCCTCCTGCATATCAGAGCTTCTCAGCTCTTAACAGCCTGAGCGAGGGAGATGTGGGCGTGGCCAGCAACAGCTTATTTTCTTAAAGTGGCAGAGCCCTGAAATGGCTTATTTTGGAAAGTACTGATGATGTCAAGAATAAAACTGCTGAAATTGCTTTATGTGACATTTAATGCAAAGAACTTCATAAACATGTTTTGTATCAACCATAGAACTATTTTTGCTTAAGAAAACTAGTCATAACACATCTCCTTTAAAATGCTCCACAGGGTCGCTGCATTCGCTTTCAGCGGGTCCAAGACAAGTCCACCCCAAATCACCAGGCCTATCCCCACAGGCCTCACTCCTCCTCAGCGCCTCCACCTGCCCCTTCTCCTCCACCAGCCGAACAGCAGTCTCTGGTCTCCAACTCCGTCCCCCGTACGAAGCCTCCATCAAGAGGACCACGTACCGCACCGCCCCCGATCACTACCCCACCCTCCAGAGCACCTCCTCCAGTGGCCCGACCCCCACCAGGTCCACCTCCAACCCGTGCACCACCAGGGCCTCCAGGACCCCCTCCGTCACGACCCCCACCAAGGCTGTAACGATGAAGGGAATAGGTGCAATAAACACCTGGGATGTTTTAATATCCTTTTAAAATAATGTCTTCCAGCCCAAATACTAAAGATTGAAATGTTTCAGGTCAGCTGTGTTGTTGAGCTCTTTGTCTGTTGCTGGACAGCAAAATGTATCTGTCAGAACCTGGAAAAGACAAGAAAGTCTTAGGTGGAGAGTGGAAGTGCAATTCTTTCTAGACTTTAGGGTTGTTGTAGGTTTGTTTGTGTCTGAGGGAGAAATAGAAAAACTTGTCAGATTTTCATTTAATGATAAATAAAAATGGAGCATGTAGAAAATGGCTCTGCTGGCTTCTTAGATAACACAACTGCCTTTGGGTGTCAGCGGTTCTGCGTAAACCTTCTCAACAAAATAAAAACATTTTCCTGCAACAACTTAGAGAAGTTCAGTGATCTTAAAGCAACTGCAGGGCAGTTTCTCAGCATTTTATTTATTGTAATTTGCTCTTTCTCTTCCACATCTGCTAGATTTGTAGTTTTTTGAACCATGGAGGGCCTGCACCGTGACAGATTTTAAACCTCATTTTTGTGCCATCCTATATGAGACAGACACCTTCCAGTAGATGATCGCATTGAAAATGAGTATCTTCTGGGTTTTTCTGTATTCTGCTTTTACTGACATGAAATGATCATTTTGCATTGTTTCTTCCAAAACTTGTGCCTATCGTCAATAAAGACATTTTTTAATAATCTGCTGAGTGAAGCTCATGATTTTATATCAGTTTTATACAGAAATTATCTCTGAAATAGACTTTAGTACATTAGATGAATTTAGCTAAATCTAACTAAAGCCTTAAAATTCCCACATCAAATATGACTAATTCCTAGACTTTAGAATAATTATTGAGCTGTGGTGTTTTTACCCATGCTTTCATCTCATGATTTGTGTGGAGAAAATTCAATCAGTATGAATAATTAACTAAAAAGCCAGGATGTTATGTAAAACTACAGTTTGCTAATGTCTTTTGGAAAATAAGTCAGAAAATTGATTTACTTGTATTTATCTAAATTATTGAGAGCCTTTACAGCTGCAAAAGACATCCATGTAATGACCTAATGCACCATCACACCAGGAAATGGTTTAGAAACTCCACCCGGCTAGTTCAGATCATAAAATGCTAGTTTTGTTTTGGGGTTTTTTTTTTTTTTTTGCACAATTTAAAAATTATGTGTTAACGTAAGTGAAGAACTTATGTCACATATTTGTTCTTTAATCAAGAATTTAGGAAGGTGATGCCTAGGGGTTGAACTTTAGAACAGACCGAATTCCCATTTTAATCTTCCGTATTTTTCCAGGAGCAGATTTTCTTAAGCACTTTTTCATTTACAGAGTTGTAAAAATTTCCTTTAAATTTTTGAAATTGACAGAAAATGCCTTTTGCACTTTTCTGCATGCTCCAAGTATTAAAAACATTTAAGTACAAAAAGAACCAATTAGAAAACACTATTTCTGATGTTTAAAACAGCGGTTACGTTTTAGTAAAGCCAGATGTTTATTCAGTTAAATTATGCTGACCTTTAAATGTTCACTTTAGGACTGAGCTAACCTTCGAATGACAAATTGCATTCAGCACGGGCAATAAAGGATTTGCACCTATTTGTAATCTTAAATTGACAAAGTACTTAAAAGTAATGGTCCACGGATCAATCGGAAAAAGGGGGAAAAAATTATATTTGCACAAATGCTTTTCTGCAGGTCATGTTTAGAATATTTGTCTTGCTGTGACAGTAATAAAAATGAAGTGCAAGTTAATATTTTATGTTCTGCACTTTAGTTTGCTTTGTAAAGCATTTGCTAACCCCACCACCAACTGGAACATGGAAAACCGGGTCATAAAGATGAAGATTTGGGAGAAAAATAACTTTTCTATAAAATAAATGTGGAAAAACACTCGAGTCTTGAAATAGTTTTCCATGCTGTACTTTCTTTTATCCATAAATCTCCAGACATGATGCCTTCTGCAATATCCCAGGTGTCTAGTTAACTTAACCCTAATAATTCTCCCTATAAGGAATTATGATGCTGGCGGTAACACGTTTGCAGCATCAGAAGAAGTGAGACAGTTCCGTGAAAACCTAAATAATCAATCCACCAACTCTGGCTGAATATCTAGTCTGAGAATCATAAAACTCACTAAACACACATGATAGTGATTACCAGGTCAGCCATATTTTACTACAGCATATCTGGTTTGTGAAGTCCTGTCAGCTGAACGGCCTAAATGTTCTTCAAACACCTCAAAGCTGTGCTGCCAGGTGCAACAGCTGCAAATTGGAAATAACTCAGAGTTTCTGAGGAGAATAAAAATATCTCAGTCCATACACAGCTCTAATTATGTGTTTAGGTCATCCTCATAGTATTCATGAATGCTTTTAATCAATGTACAGCTCTCAGGCGTGCAGCGCCCTCAAGTGGCCAAATAAGGTAAACAAATAGAACAGTTCTTTCTGAAAAAAAGCTCATTTTAGTTGTTTTGTCAACAAATTCTCACACCGAAGCGGCTAAAACTGACGAAGGGTGACTAACGGAGTCCCAACTCGTCAGAAACAAACGCTTGGTCACCCTTCGTCAGTTTTAGCCGCTTTGGGAGGAGAAACACACACACACACACACATACGTGCGTGCGTCCTTATTTAACATATAGAGTCCATTCAGCATAAATCTGTTCTTCAGGTCTTCCTTTTTTTCTTCTGCATTTTCCTCCCCGACAGCGCCCCCTTCTGGGCTCCTCGCACCATCCCCTTAAACTGCCCGTGAAGTCTGGCGCGTTTCCTGAGACCACAGAACAAGCAGGTCGACATCAGCGATGTTTTTCTGACAGCAGGCTTTCACATAACCGAAACAGCAGCTGCTGCTTGTACCTGCGGTTCAGCTGCTCCTTCTTCAGAGGGATGTAAGCGTAAGGGTCACACTTTCCTTTTTTCTTCACGTCTCCTTTTCCTTTCTGTCAGAGAAAAGAAAAACACAAAACTTGAGTTTCCCATCCTCTCAGTCCAGTCACGCCCAACTCCAGGTTTCAGATCCCGCTCACCTTTGATTTGTAATCGGCTCCGGCATCGTGGCCTTGTCCCAGAGATCTGTGGATTCCTGAGCCACCAGCTGAACGCAAAACAAAATCACCTCAGCACCATAATCTGATCCAACGTTCACCCGTCTGTTCTGATGTTCACCTTTATATTTAAACTGGGGTTCCACGTCCATGTCCTCGTCAAAGTCACCCTCCTTAAACGTTCTCTTCTGCGACTTTTTCTGCAACGATTATGAACAAATGAACCATAAAGCCAACAGGAATGAAGTTTTTAACACCGACAGTAAAAACTCACACTTTTGACTCCTGCTTCTTCCAGGATATCCTTCATCTCGTCTCCTTCTGTGAGAAAATAAAAGGACTGGTGTAACAGATTCCTCCGATGTGACAAATGAAACCAGCGGATTCTTCTTACTTTGGTGTTTTACGTCCTCCTCGTCATCCTCTCTAATAATCAGCCGTCCATCTGAGGTGACTTTAAACCCGTGCTCCACCTTGGAGGTCTTCCTCAGCTCCGGGTTGGTGGCTAAAACATGTCGAAAGTCCTTTTTACTTAGTGATAACCTCCAAACACAGCTAACGGCAGCTATCAGAATCAAACCTACCTAGAACTCTTTGGGAAACCTTCGGGTCCAGGAAGTTGAGCGGGTCGTCTTCCTCTCCCTCTTTGAGCCACGCCTTTCCTTTCTCCCGTTTTCCTGCTTTCTTCTGAGGTTTTCCTTCATCCTCGGACAAATCGCTGTCAGACTCTGCAAGGATGTCTTCAATACTGAAAAGGGGAGGGTGATAGGAATGAAGGGAGGAAACCATGAGGGCGGTTTGTGTTAAGGACTTTAACGCACCTTTCACCCTTTGCTTTAGGTGCCTCCTCTTCGCTTTCCGATTCGCCGTGCTCCTCAGCCGCCTGCTTTCGCCTCTTGCTTCGAGCCTCGGCCTTGCGGATGTTTGAGAGCACCTTGTGGTGCTCTGCAGGCAGCATGCTCTTCACCAGCTCAAAACTAGAAACGGCATCGGAGCTGTCAGAAAACCCAAGGAGCCCCGTTTACGATGCAGACAGAGAACAGAGCACTCACCCAAACTTCCTGATAAACTTGGTGAAGATGTTCTTCAGTTTGGTTCTGAAGTGTCTTCTAACGTCATCCTTGATGCTTCCGATGCCCTCCATCTGAGAACAATGAGTTTGTTTAGCTTTGAGTTGTAGCTCCTGATGATTTGTGTCGCTTCTGAAACTTTTTAAACCTGTTCTGAGGTCAGATTTAACCACCAGTGGTTCTAATCTACAGAATTACCAACAGTGGTGTGTTGAAGAGCAAAAACAAAGCTATAAAAGCTAAAAATCAACTGTCTGCTACCCATGAGCATCTCCTACCATGACGGTGACATGCGTCGCCAGCGTTTTGGGGTCCATGATGAAGAGGACGACCTTGATGAAGCCCAAAGCAGCTTTGACGATCTCTCTGGTACGAGACGCCAGCAGGACACAAACGTTGTGCAGCAGCTGCTCCAGTATGGACACCTCTATAGCGTCTGAAAGAGAAAATGACATCAGCTCAGCTCGTAAGCATCCGAAGCAGCGGTAATCCAGACGGGCTACCTTTGTACTCAAACACCAGCCGGGTGAGGGCCAGGACGGTGCAGGTGATCATGGTGACGGAGCCTGTGAGTCCTGCGTACACCAGGACTAAATACTGCTCCATGGCTTCTGCATCACGGGCAGGAAAAGACTTTAGTGTTTAATTCTTGACCGTTAGAAACTTGTTTTTCTAAAAGCCGAATCACCTTTTGAGTTCCCGCAGAATCGAACAAACGCATTTCCCATTTCCACCAGCAGACTGTAGGCGTTCTTACGAGCTCCAACGGAAACCTCCTTGGTGCAAATGATCACCTAAAACAGACAAAATCATTAAGAGTGTGTGTGCGTGTGTGTGTGTGTGTGTGTGTGTGTGTGTGTGTGTGTGTGTGTGTGTGTGTGTGTGCGTGTGTGTGTGTGTGCGTGTGTGTGTGTGCGTGCATGTGTGTGTGTGTGTGTGTGTGTGCGTGTGTTACCTCTGGCAGCAGCGCAGCAATAAAATCCTTGTGTTCCTCGTTCAACCTTTTCACGATGTGCACGAGACACTTGAGTCTGGGCTGAGACGAGGAAGAAAAAGAACAAATGACGAGGAACTTCAGTGAAATGATTTGTTTGTGCCGTTTCTCTCCGATCCAACAGCTCACCCTCTTTGCAGGTGAAGAAGCGTTTTTCAGAGTATCGAGCAAAACGAGTTTGAGCGTTTCCAGGTTCGACACAACAAACGAACGGCACTCCTCCCTCTCTGCTCCGCACATCTCCTCCAGAACGCGGTACGCCTTCTTCTGCATGCCGGGCTCTTTGACCTGAACTCAAAGAAAGCGCTCAATAGATCTGAGGTAAAATCACCCGTGTCACTAAACACCGAGTGCGTCTTTACCTCCAAATATGGTCGGATCAGCTCAAAGGTTTTGGTCATGTTAGCCTCATCTACAAAGGGTGCCATGGCAACCACAAGGTCCATCACTGACAGGCTGAGGAGGTGAGGTAGAGCAAAAGTAAACAGAAGAAGTTAAATTTCAAACCAAAACCACCAACAACAGTATATTGGCATTACCGTATGAACTCTGTGCTCTCTGTGCTGGTCAGCCTCTCAGACGCTTTTTGCAGAAATGTGCAGATCAACTGAAGAAAATTGTTTCAATAAGAATATTTGACAAACACTTAACACTGTTCAGCGGAACGAGAATAAAATCTGCTCACCTGAGTTTCAGTGATGGATAAATAGACTTTAATGGTGTCTAGAACAGCCATCCTGTAGGTGCCCGACTCTCCCTCTGCAGGCGGCTGGCTGTAAACATTAAAAAGGATCGGCAGGAAGTTCTTGGAGAAGCGACCCATTTCTGCCTTTTCTTCCTCTTTGACATAAAAAAATCAGTTTTAAATTACCTCATGCACTTGCAGCCATTTTAATATATAAAGTATATTTATGAGCATGTGTCCAGGTACCTGTGGAGCAGCTCTTGTTGATCAGAGTGCGGAGCGCCTGGCACACAGTGAGTCTCAGGTCTGGACGTTCATTAATGGCCATGCCGAGTGTGCGGGCGATGCCTTTAAATGATGCCAGCAAGTCCACAGGACACGTGCAAAAACCAGGAAGCATGGTCCAAATCTAGAATATGGACAAAATGTATCCCACTAAAACTCATTTGAGTTTGTAATCAGGCAGAGAGCCTATTAAAAATACATATTCAGAAGGATCTGTAGGGACTCAGTCTTTAGGTCTCAATGAGATCATGCTGGTGCAAAGGCAAGTGGGGCAGAAGGGCACAAATTTGTATATTTATGGGTAAAATAATCACAATAAGGATTTTAAAGTTTTTCAAGTTACTGGAATGTGCAACCATACTACAAATTAGGGCTGGACAATAACTTAGTAACTGTCACCAAGCCCTCCCCTCGAACCTAAACAGACAGCAATGTGACTTAAACAAGGTGTTGCAGCAAGGAGGGGTGGAAGTAATTCATCTGAAAAAAGGTTGCAGTAGTTCACCGGTGTGGCAATATTTTCATTCTTACAAGTCTGACAAAAAAAATAAACAATCGGCGGTTTGCAAAATTAGCAGAAAATCAATAAAAACCAAGTCTGGTAACACAACCAACTTGTTTTATCAGAAAGTAACAACATAAAACAGCCAGGGCTGCACTTAAAATGTATGTTCTACACTTTTATATGGTTTAATCATTATTCATATTGAACAAGATGGTTTTTTAATCTATTAGCGTTTTTCTATATCGAAAAACCTTAAAATTAAATGTATACGAGCATTTTAGCCAAATTCTATTTTACATCATCTTTCCATTGTTTTTCACAATTTTATAAAAATAAAGATTAAATTAGAACACCTCCATCTTTTCCGAGATGAAGGAAGTCAGATGATAAACAGCACCGAGTAACAAGGTAAGTCTGCTACCTGAAGCTGTAACGTCTGGTAGACTTTTGCTTCCAGCTTTTTTCCTGTTTGTTCCAACTCTTCAGCTACAAAACAAGCAGAGATTCATCAACAAACGCATGAAAAACACGTTCGGTTTTCACTCATCACACCTTATTTACCCCTTTGCTTGAGTGTAGAAGCCAGAGGGAGGAAATAAGAAGTGAAGAAACCGAGACGGGTGCTCTTCACGTGATCTCTTATGACGGGGATCAACCAGCTGCGTGGAAACTCCAGGTCATCGCTAAAATGGCACAAAAACACCAAAATGGGTTGGTAGGAGCAGCTTCACCGAGTTTTGTGTGGTTTTGTTTCAGTTTTTACTTGATGCCAGTGATGTTGAGAGGAACAGCAGACAGGACGACTTCAGGGCCCATGCTCTCCACGGCTGCTCCCACAGCCAGGTCCAACTCCCCGCTGTAGGGGAACTGAGGAGTGGAGCGCAGGTCGGCCAGAGACTGCAGCGACTGTTCAAGACACCACACACACACACACACACACACACACACACACACACACACACACACACACACACACACACACACACACACACACACAGAGTCAAATTCATCCATGGTCCTGGCAGCGATTTTAATGTTTCGATTCAAAACCTTGGTCATGATGGAGTGAGCTTGTTTCCCTGCAACTCGGTAAAAGCAGCCAAGGATCTGCAGCACAAAAGGCCAGGAAGCGTGGAAGCGGTAGGACAACCCGTCCTCTACGACACTGAAACAGAAACAATTCATCGTCAGAAGAGGAGGAAATTTTTAAAAAGGAAGTTTTGTCAAACAGTTCGGGACCCTAACGAAACACTTTTCATGGGAGAGATATAAAACACTTTTGAAACGTGTTCAGCCTGTTCTGAGGCCAGTAGTCCTAATCTGCAAAGTTACCCTCAGAAGTGCGATGAAAAACAAAACAGCAGCTTTAAGAATGAGAATTTTAAATGGAGAAAAACTTTAGCTTCGTGCTTACGCTCCACAATGCTGAAATAATCTAAATAAAATACCAAACTGCCCAGATCCAGTTAGGGCTGGGCGATGTGGCCTAAAATCAATATCACCATATATGGAGGGTTCCACCTCGATAACGATAAATGGACGATGACTACAGGTATGCAGACAAAAGTTGTCCACTAGATGGGGCTGTCACGTATATTACTTTGAGGTACAGCTTCTTAAAGGGACATGAACGATGCCAACCTACAAACATCTTTTCATTTTTTTTATTATCAAATTTATTGATGTGGGAAAAATTATGTTGATAAGAGTCAGGAATTTTGATAACGATAAATATTCAATTTATTGCCCAGCCCTTGATCCAGTATTAATCTGGTCTAATAAATTTTGGATCCATCCATATACATGTTTGAATTTAAATTCTACTCTATTGGGATGTGCATTCGTAAGAATCTGCTGCTACGACACATATCGCAATAAAACGGAGACAATACGATAGAAGATTTTTGCCCTGTTTAAAGTTCTCGTTCACTCGTTATTTCAATACATCTGCAGTGGTCTACAGTATAAATGAATGCCTTGTGAGTCATTCTCTGTGGGACAAAAACCCAGGCCCTCCTGTTTCAGGAACTAGAAGTTAGTACGGGGAGCGGGACAGAAAACAGCGGGATTTGGAGTCTCTCTTCCACTGCCCCCACTTGCTCTGCCACAAATAACACAAGCCTGAAGGAGTTCTGCCCTGTTGTGGAGTAGCTAATGCTAACACTTAGCTTCTACTAGCTCTTTCCTGGTTGGCAAATCAAAAACAGCCGTCTCCGTTGCGAGCAAAGCTGGGTGAGTCCGTGAATGCTAAATTACATTATGACATCACATTTTATAATCCGAGCGTTTCCCCGTCTACTTTCAATGGACGGGTAATGCAGGAAACGGGATAATCCCAGAAACTCTGAGTGACTGGTATTTCAGAATGAAGTAAAAATTATTTCCCGTGACCTGTCCTTTAATATGGAATTTAAATGGAAACCTCAGGCCAGATGCTTCCAACACACATCCAGTGGTATTGTGTGTTCTCATTGTTCTGTCGCCACCTAGCAGTCCGAGTTTGAATTACCCCACAAAAAAGACGTAGTGACGTTTCAGTGTATCAATATTTTCTACTATTGTATAAATTAGGTTAATATAGATAAATCCAAACTATTAATAAAGTTGTAATTTCAAATAAATTCAACTGATTTGAGTTTTGTCAAATAGTTCCAAGATCCTACCGAAACGTTTTGTTGATATAAGAGGGATTTCCAGCAGTAGTGGTGACAGCGATCGTTCCTATTTCTTCCATGTGAGGGGCGACACATTCTGTCAACAAAGTCTACAATAAAAAAAAAAAAGTAAGATTAAAAACACAATAAAAATATAAGTTAACATTTCCCTTAAAATGTCCAGAAGTAGCCATCATTGCCCACTTTAAGTAGCTTCCCGGAGTTTTCCCCTTTCAGAAATGACGTCTGATTTTTCAGAAATCCGTATAAGTGATTGGCTCATCATGTACTGTGATATCATGTAAGCAATACGTCTTTTTTTTTTGTTTTTTTGCTAAGCACACCACCTGCCCCGCAGAGCTCTGACCAGAACCTAATCAATAGCATTAGACTGCTGCTTACATGCTTCAAATTTAAGGAAGTACTACAGCTGACGCAGTTGATGAACTTTTTACGGACAAGTAAGTCGTTAAAATTTAAATATATGAGAACACAACACAACGTGAGAATAATACTTGTAAAACAACGTGTTTTAGCTCCGTTTGTCGGCTACAGAAGCACATTTATAAACAAGAAACATGAAGTCGCCATCTTAAAAACATGGGTCGACAGACTTTTTGTGTAATATGCTTGTCAGCCACTAGATGGTGCCATCGGATAAAATAAATACTCTGGAAAGATATTTTAAAGGTTCCATATCATGCCATATTAAACTTTTGAAAGTAAAGGCACTATGGTAAAATATTACTGTTGGCACTATTGAGGTGCCAACAGTAATATGTGCTTAGCAGACGCTTTTATCCAAAGCAACTTACAATTTGTTTTTTAACCTGTAGGGCATGTTGTGATCTGTGGGGGAAACCGGAGTACCCGGAGAAAACCCACGCATGCATGGGGAGAACACGCAACTCCATGCAGAAAGGCCGCAGCCGAGTTTCGAACCTGCGACCTTCGTGTTGCGAGGCAACAGTGCTAACCACTGTGCCACCACGCAGCCCATATATATATATATATATATATATATATATATATATATATATATATATATATATATATATATATATATATATATATATATATGGGCTGTGTGGTGGCAATATATATATATTATATATATATAATATATATACAGTTTGCTGTATTCCTCGGTTGTAACGAGTGTTTATTTCAGTCAAAGTTGGTCTTCTATCAGCTTGAATCAGTCAGCCCATTCTCCTCTGACCTCTAGCATCAAAAAGGCATTTTTGCCCACAGGACTGCCGCATACTGGATGTTTTTCCCTTTCACACCATTCTTTGCAAACCCTAGAAATGGTTGGGTTTTTTTTTTTTACCTTCATTGTGTTGGTGGCGGTAGAAACCACCTGTGTGTGTGGCGACAACAAGCAGGACATGGCGGTAGAGAAGAGTCGGGGGAGATGACCCAGACTCAGAGAACTCTGCAAGCTGGACCAAGAATGACAGAGAACCACAGCTAATGAGCATCTTACTGACTAAAGTAAAGGACTCATTACAATTCCGCTAACTTATGTTAATACTTTGCCAGGTGAACATGAGCTTTCTCCATGACGGTCAGCCACGCCAGCAGAGGCTGCAGGTCATTCTCACTGGGCAGGTAATCATACAGAGCCTGGAGGTGATAAGTGAGTTTTTATTTTTACACTAACATGCTACATGATACCTTAAATGTGCTGGTCGTTAGTTTGTCTCACCGTGATGATCTGGGCGTTGAGTTCTGCCGACAGAGACGACGGGTTTGGTTTCCCGCTGAAGAGACTATGAAACGCCTGCATGGCGCAGGCCGTCACCAGCTGCAGCCAGAAGAAAAGAGGACATGTCAGATCAAGCACGTGCGTGGCTAAATAAAGTGTGTGCGGGTGCATCTTTGAGCGGTTTGGTGTACTCACCACATGGCTGAGGGTCATGACTCGCAGCAGAGTCTCACAGCAGGACTTGACGACTCCCAGAGGAAACGTTCCCATCAGCTCCTTCAAGAGACCAAGCACATGAAGTGTGGTGGTGTCCTCTTTGCTGCCTGACAAAGGAAATAATTAGAATTATTAGAAAGCATAATCAAAACATTTCTTTTCTTTATGTATTTCTGAATTTTCTCTTAAGGATCTGTCAAAAGGATGTCTTACCTCCTGCTTGCTCCACTTCTTTGATGCAGAATTTGGCTGTTGTAGCTGCAGCAGGGTGGTGGGCCGGTGCGCCGTCAGCAAACAGGAAGTCACTACCTCTAAGAATCGAGCAAACGCCTTGCTGCGCCGCTTTACGGACCTGAAAACAACAAACACCCCACGCTTTTAGTATTTCAGTGAAAGTTAGAGAAATAGCTGAAATGAATGGAGCACATTTAATGATGCAAGTGGGCGGGAACAACCTTAGGTCTGCTGTGCACCGTGAAGCTGAGAAGGCCGTGATAGGTCTGCAGAGTGGACGGGTAACTCCAGACAGACACATCCTGCTTCCTTAACAATGTGGCGAGGCAGGACAGGATCTATAGAAAAAACATAAATAAATAAATTAGAAAAAGTTGTAAAAATTAAAATACCAATCAGAAAAAACAAATCTTCGCACCCATCTCAGAGCTGACGAGGTGTCGGACGTGGCCTGTTTAGACATGACATCCATCAACGCCTTGGCCGTGTCCGAGAACTTGTTCTTCAGCACCGGAGCAGGAACTCTGGGTAACACCAAACAACAAGCAGATGAAAGGTACTTTAGATCAAAAGTGAATGAATCCGTGGGACTGTTCTGCTGTGGAACAAAATAAAAGATGTTACCGTTTCATGACGAGGTTGAGGAGATACGCCACTGCAGCTTGGGACTCTGCTGATTCCACAACCTCCAGAGTGGTCATCTACCAAAATAAATAAAAAATTTAAAAAATTCTTTATTTTCTGAACAATAATTTGATCTTATACCACATTTTTACATGGCACAGTATGCTACTTAAATCTGCAGAGAACACCCACCAATGCAGCGAAGTACTCCGTCTCAGTCTCCTTTCCTCCTTGACTTCGAATCACTTCAGTAACAGCAGCCAAAACGGCACAGATCTGTGAGGAACATCTCAACAGTTTCAGCTCGTGACAACTTGGATTAGAAACCAAATATCTATTGGTATCTTTGCATCATCCTAAGTACGTTCCAACTCCTTTTTCTCCCTTTGTTAATCAGCATATCAACAGGGTTTGGCTAACATCAAATTGTTGACATTTCCCACCTCTTTGTGTGCGGCCGAGTTAGACTCCCAGAAGCGCTGTACTTTTCTGAATGTGAGGTTGGAGCAGTCAGACAGGCCGCTGAGGAAGGTGCCAGAGGTTCGGTCCGAAAACTTCTCATCCAGCTCCTCTTCCATGAGGGCATCCTTTCGGCCTCCAGCACTAACCTCCAGTGGACCGGCCTGCAGCTCATTGTGAAGCTTTAGAGCATCAACAGTAAGATCACTCTTTCCTTTAGGAGGACAAAAAAGTGGAAGGCATCACTCAAAGCTAGAATCCACCATATTTAAAGAATGTCATTGTAAAAAAATTGCTTTTGAATGCTTTATTTATCTGAAGATCAAATTTAAGGACTACAGTAACTACACACAATTAGACTAATGTTGCTTTCTTATTTCATTCAACTAAGCAACAACTCAGTCAGTGTTTAGGAGCATGCTGCTTTCATTCATTCAGTATAAGATGCAGTTTTATCATAATTATAAACTGGTTCAAACATAAGTACAGCACTAAAGATACAAAAATGTAACCTTTACATTTTAATACAATCAATGACACAAAACATGCACTGAAGCTTTGTGTTCCTTCATTATTACAAGCTAATGGAAACAGGTGGTAAACACGATAAAAAGAAAACATTAAAACAACAAGGCGTTTTGGGAGCATGAAGCCGTGTTTTGCTTCAAATGTTAGCTTAGTGCTATCTCCAGTTAAATGCCTGACACAGATTGTTAGCCAAGTCCCGAGACCCACGCACGTGCGCCTTACCGCTCGGTCGGCTGAAAAAGCGACTTTTCGCAGCCTGTCGAAAACGACTCGACTGCGGGTTGGAGTCGCTGCTGTGTCCCTTCTTCCACCGTTTGAGTTTGGAACCCGTCCCGGACCGAAGTTTCCCCGATTTTACCATTTTCGGGGTTAGAAAGTGATCTCGTTTCCCCCTACTGTCTTTCGGAGCTCCAGATGACTCTGTCGCTCAATAAATGACGTCACGGTTTTGTCTAAGTTGACGTTTCATTATTTGGGCTGTGGAGGGCGCTGTCTACCACAAACTACGCAGTTCAAACAGAAAAGTACGGAAGCCCACTCCCACGACTCTGATAAAAAAAAAAACTCATAATTATTGACACATCACTATACTAGCCACTCCATAACTTGAAGTAATGTATTTAATTTTTATGACACATTATACAAATTATGATTTTTTTGTCTGGCAAAACCCAAAAATCACTTATTCTATGCTGTATTTTCATTCTGAGTCTCAGTAGTGATAGACATCAGACATCTTATAATTTGATTAATATTCATAAAGAGTGGAATGTGTTATCTAGCAGTTTCGCCAACATTTCAGATTTTCAATTCCACATTATTTCATTCGTATGTTCTGATAAATAAATAGCTATGCTTGAAAGAGAATGGACTTGTGGAAAGTTAATCGCCCACATTATCTATGACCAAATATTTTTTTAATCAAATTTTAAATGATAACCCAACTGCAACAGTGGGGACCTTACAATATGTGTGAATAACGTGTTTTTGGCCAAATCCCACTGAAATTACAATTGGAAATATGTGAAAAAGGATGGACCAAATTGCTTTTTACAGCATCCTTATGAAAAGCACTCCAATCATTCAGTAAACACTAAAAATTAGTAGAATTAATATCAACTGCTTAATCGTCTTCTTTTAGGATTTATTTTCTATTTTTTGCTGCTCTGTAAAATAAAATAAAATAAGGACACAAGCAAGAGCACAGCCTTGTGTTTATTTGTAAACTGCCTTAAAAATCACAGAAAGAGGGTGGTTTTAAATTAATCATGTTTATTGATAAGTTAATGAATTGTGTACACGAAACTATAAACTATAATGAAATGAAAACAAAACTGATCATCTTTCTACCTTAAAAAAGGTTCTTTCACAACATTTGGAGTCTATAACAATAATCTAGCTGTGAGATGAAAATGTACTGTTCACACACAACCACACACCTAATTTGATAGTAATGGACACAAGAAGTGATACTTCTGATTGTTTAAAAGAAAGTAGGAGGTTGAAAGAGGGAGTGGCTTTTTCTTACTTTGGACCCCCAGGTGAGCTCTGATTAATTCTTCCACAAGCACAAGTACAAACGGACAAGAGGCGAGGAATCCATGTAAACAATAGAGCTTTAAGTTCAGGTCTTCAGAACCAAACACTGAGAAGTGAATCTTCAGGCTCTATCTTTATTCTAAAGTGTTTCAGTGCTGTTCGTTAATGTTTTATTATTATTTTTTTTTCAATTTGGAAATAAATAAATAAATAAATAAAGGGAAAAATAGAAAAAAGGATCAATATAAAAGCAATAATTTCTTGTATAAACTGTACACAGAATTCCACCGCTGTAACACTGGCTTCTGGTCCAACTCCAGCCTTCTCTGGCACATCCTTTATCTTTTTTTCACTACAAATCCCCATCGTCACCCCCTCAGTTGGTGATGACTGAGGGGTTTATGTTGACGATCACCTGGACAACAAAGTCCTTCTGGATCTTGGCATCTTGGAGACGGGTCTTGTCCGTCAGAAGTTTCCCCGAGAAGAACCACCGCTGTCGGGTCACATCGATGTCCTCCTTTTCTTCCAACAGTTTCTTTAGCTCAGTGATCGAGTCTGCCAGACTGGCTGTCAGACGCACGTCTTTCCCTGAAACAACACAAAAAAGGGGCAGAAACGGATCACTGAACAAACAGCGTTTAAGAGCTTTGAACGATGAAAATGGCTGTTGTTGTTACCTGTTGATAATCGCACCCTCAGCTGAAACTCCTCTCTGCAGGGTGCAACCTGGGCTTGTTTTTGGGAGGATTCAGAGGATTTGTTCTCGCTACATGTTTCAGTAATGAGGTTGACAGGTGGTGCTAGAGTGTACGCGGGGAGCTGATAGCGGTTGCCCAGCTCGTCATAACTCTCTGTGAGGGAGCCTGCAAAAAAATGAAACAAACGACAAACATAAACAGCCATTTTTCTTTCAAAATAATCACAACTAGCAACTTACACGAGCATTAAAGAAGACGTTCAGTGGCCACTTTGAGTTTCACATGCAGACTGAACATGAAAATTGTCTTCAACCCTTATTTACTGCATTAGCCACCAATACAAAATAGACAGCTCTGGTCAGAAAGAGCCACACAGATCTACATCACAAAATAAATCAGCATTCATGGACTCTCACGTGTTTATTTTTGCAGCCAGGAGAGAGCAGAGTGCGTTGAGGCTAGCCGAAGCTAATCATTAGCATTAGGAATCCCACAACATGACTGAACTCCTTCAGACCTGAGTTATTTGTGGTGATAAACATCAACGTTGCAGAACGAAAAGAGGTAAAGAAAGAGTCCCGCTGCTCCTAGCCAATCAGAAGAAAGATGTCCGAATATCATGAATATTAATGCGTAACACTCCAAATCCTGCTGTTTTCTGCTCCCCTGTCCACTGACTAACGTCTACTTCCTAAAACAGGTGCGCAAGAGATGTTTTCCCACAGTGAGTGAATTTGGGTCTTTAAAAAATGCAATAAATATGTTTTAAATTATTACAAAATGTATGAATCTCAATGTAAAAACATGTTTTTCTCTGTGTGCCTGAGTCACTTTGCAGTGGATGTGCTGCACGAAATCTATTACATAATTATTACAGCAGTAATCTCCTAACTCATGCTCTGGATTCTGCAAAGTGCTCTTTGACGTTGCAGGAATTATTACTGTGAGCTACGCATTAGCACAGGAAGTCCCAGGACCTTTACAGGTTTCCAGCTTGCATGAACACTTTCAGATCCTAAACTGATTGCAATGTTTTATACCGTGTGGAAGAGTGATGCAGGCTCCGTCCACTATAGCCTGAGCCAGCTCCAGGTCGTTGCACTCCATAGCTAAGGCTGCAGCTCTGAGCGCATCCCAGATCTCTTTCCGTCCATCAAAGGCTGGGGCTGTATCCCAAAACTCGTCCCTTTTACTTCTCAGCTGGCCCTCGGTCATCGGGTACTCGCTTTTCCATTTGGGACGCTCCTTCTTGAGAGGTTCATTGCGTGCTTTAGGAAAATTAATATAAAAAGGAGAAAACTGTAATCTGAGAGAAAACAGACACCAGCTGAAAAATTGCAGGTGGTTAGTAAAAAAAAATACACAGCTTATACCTTGTCCATCACTTCCTGCACTATTTGGGAATATTATTTTGCTACTTTATGCACCAAGCCAACACAAAGATGTTAGCATTTTAGCTAACGATTCCTGTGATCTAATTGCAGCATCAAAACACACAAAGCAACGTGTATATTTTATGTGGGATTTCCAGTCTGATCCACTGAGGGAGGAAACTCAAAGCTGTTATTAATGGAGCTGTGTGGATTACTGCAGTGGTAACACACGTGCATGCAAACACACAAGTCCCCTCAGTAGATTATGTGCAGTAATCCGTTTCCATATAACAGGATTTATCTGTCCTCTACCCTACTGGACACCAACAGGATAGAGGAAGACTCTCCGGCCAATGAGAAGCAGCTTTAAAAATAAAATCACAAGTTTACCAACAGCGAGCACACATCAACACAGATCCACTACAAATCAGAGATCACCGCTTCAGTCTGCGGGGTTATTTGTTTTTTATTACATAACATTATGCGGATGACATAAGTCTTAACATTTAAGACATTTTTCATCTAAATAAAAAATAAGATTATGAATGATTATAACTTAGCATTAAGCATATCAAATTGACTAAATGAAAATATAAGATTATACCATCGAACTGCAATGATGTCCATCATATAATGTAACAAATCATTTTCACTGTATTAAAGGCGTGGAACACTTGTTTAAGCAGTACATTTGCAGTGGTCTCTAGGAGGAATGAATCCCTTGAAAGTCGTACACTGGAGAAAAAATACCAGCGCTCCATTCCCAGGAACTAGAAGTGAGCCACATCAGCTGAGCTTCAGACGGCAGGTTTTGGACTCATTTCCTGATATTTGGACATCTTGCCCCAGACTGGATAACAGCAACACAACTCCACCACTTACTCAGTTTGCTCTGCAATGCTGCTGTTTCATCTCCACAAAAAAAGAAGCCTGGAGGAACTTTGACATGTGGTGGAATTGCTAATGCTAACGATTAGCTTCTACAAGCCGAGACGTTACTTGTTTCCTGGACGTAGATCGTTTTGCCTCCGTAAGCTTGGTGTTTGATTCTTCAGTGTGAAATATTGGAGGTGTGGGGTGAGAGCGTATGAAGAGGGTCAGCCCTGCGTCAAGCTATTCTAATCCCAGAGTTCAACGTCTATTTTCTATCAGAAGCTAATGCAGAAGACTATTTTCATGATTACCCTGCGTTGACTACAGTAGATTTGGAGAGTGGGGAACCCAACCAAATATGGCGGCGATGCTGTTATGCCCTCCAGCGCCCAATGGGGCATCTATGTATTCATGTCTACGGGTGTAGGAGACTATTTTATGTTCAGCCTGCATGAAAAACTCAGAGTGACCGATTATAACAGAAGTAAGATTTAAAAAATGTTTTTTCAGTGTTCCACACCTTGAATGATTGGATTCTTAGACAGTCAGTGTAGATGCAGAATTTTATACATGCTCGTTTTTTATACCTTTGCCTGCAAAAGGATGGTTTTGTCTAATTATTTAACATGACAAATGTAATCAAACTTCACTAACCTTCAACATAGGTAAAATCTACAGAAAGCAGGTTAAAGCTTGACATTTTTTATCTGTAAAGTGTCACTCTCCAGGTTTTAGATGCTATCATGTCCTTGGAAAAACTAGTTCCACATTTGAGAATCAGGACCAGATGTATTTTAAAGTCACAGATGAATAAAAATCCGTGGGATTAATAGTGAGATCAGCTCTTATATCGTGTCCTTGCATCAGCTGCAGTAGCCAGGGTCTAATAATAGCAGTTTTGATTGAAGTTTTTTTTTCTCCCAGGAGGATGGAAACTATTACTCATCAGGCCTCTGCCATCCTACAAATTGAAATGACAAGAAAATATGCGATGGCTCCAATTCCAACTGAATTATAAGATTCCTAATTATCCAACAGTTAAAATGTTACAAGATTGATCATTAACATAAAAAGACACTAAAGCAGAAAACTGTTCTTAACTTACTTTTCAGCAAGATCTTAAAAGGTGTGTTTGGAGCCTGATAGTAGTTGCATTCCCTGGAATTAGGCACTCCCATAGCTGGTCTCTGCCCGAGGTCTACTCTGAATTAAACGTCTGGACATCAAAAATCCACAGGAACACAGAGAAGGAAAAGCAGAGTCCTATCTCTGCTTGCTGCAATACGCCACCACCTGATGTGGGTCACAATAATGAATGGACTTCCAACTCATTGTTCTATTTCTCCAGTTGCTTAAAAACGCCAACCTCTCCTCCACCTCTGCCCGTTCTAATAAAAATAGCAAGAAAAAACCACGACCCTAAAATACCACAGGACCAATTCATGGATAATAAGTTCAGCGTACTGGGCGAGTTTACACTAGATGCCCTCGCCAGAAGGTAGGCTCTTTACACAAGACGTCTAATCCTATCAGGTCTATTTAAAGAAAGGATAGAAATACCCAAAGGCAACACGCTAAAGCTATTATCAGGTTATAAACTCCGATCACGCTGCAGAATCGACAGGAGTTCTGGAAATGCCTCACACAGATGAGGTGATCTGATTTATTTAAGGAGTTTCATTCAAAACTATTATTAGTGTGGTGGTTTCTTACACGAATGCTGAATTGTCATCGAAGCGCAAGATCTGAGGGAATAAGCTTGAGTGTTTCAGAGATTTTCTAAGAAAAATGTGGTCATATTCTGGAGCAGATTAACAAAAGGTGAATGTTTGATGTAAAAACGCTCCTGTAGTGCTGATGTTCGATGCATTCAGTCCCACGCATGCGCTCTTGTTCACAAAGGGATGGATTGAACATTGTTTATATAATCTGTCCTATCGGGGCAGGTCATCAGCCCAGATTAGACAAAGGACTGAAGCATGACACATGAGACATTTAGCAACAGGCGTGTAGACGAGACTTGTGTGAAGGTTTTGCATCCCCTGACTAAGATTTGTGTTACTGTGAGTAAAAATGACTTGAATCGAAAAAGAAAATGTGGCTGTAGCATAAGAAGTGATATCACTTTTTATCAGGATGATGAGTGACAGCAACCTATAGGTGCTGAAAAGCCAGTTTGGAAGATTTTCGCTCATTGCTTCTAAAATACACCGGTTTGTGGTTGAGCTGAGTCTGGGGCCGTGGGGTCTATGAGAGCCTAAACAAAATCTTTCATTAAACTGCTTCAAATACTTCACTGCAGTGCAAACGTCCACCCTTTAACATCCAGAATCTTTAAAATAATGGATGATTTGCTTCAACTAGTTAAGTTAAATAACAATTTGCTCCACACCAGTGCTTAAAGGTTATAGGTTTATTGATTTCTGCTATTTGATTCCCTTTAAACATGATTTTAATGACAAAACTCAGAGGCCATTTCTTTGGTGAAGAGGAATTTTTCTTCTAAAGGCGTACCTTTATCCCTTTGAGAAGAATCTGCATGTATGTGAAACGCAGAGTCAGTGTCAAGCTAAAAGCAAATTTCTTTATGCAAGTAAAAAAACTTATGACAAAATGTATTTAGAGCATGCAAATTGTATGAAATACACTTTATGTATTACTGCAATATTATTAATAAAAACTGTTCTATAGTCCCCCACCCATACCAAGCCAGTTGTTGACACAAACACATCAAAGGCAAGAATGGGAATTTTATTCTAACGTCTAAATAATTTTTAAATATAGTATATTGATATTAATATGAAATATATAAGTTATGGTAATAGACTTGCATAAAGAAAGGGATCCCTACAATAATGCAACAGTATTCTGCACGATGACATGAAACAGTCCTGTTATTAGTTTCAGATTATAAAATATGATATTTTCCCCAAATAAAATAAGGGCTAACTGTGGGATGTCTCCTTACCTCCTCGTTTTTTGCTTGTCGAGCTTCGGGCACTCCCTTGTCCATCCAACCTGCTCCTCCCCACACAGCCTCCCATCACTGTCCCTAACATCCCAGTCCAAAAACAAAAGAAAATCAGTCTCCTTGAATCATATCTGACACGTTTTAGAAACTAAATGGTTTTAAATGAGTGTGTCAAACGCTTTAATGCATGGCTGAGTATGAAACATCACACATCCGGTGGGGCATAAAATGACAGCTCAGCACTCCTTGTTCCTGTGAGGTCAGACAAGCGGCTATGTTTACGTCACGTGTACTGCCAGCTGATGGGGACACGCGTCTGAACATCATGTCTCTCGTGCTCTTATTCGCTCACATGTTCAAATAAAGTTATCGATTTATCTGTTGGTTTTCATCCTGTTGGTCTAAATTTATAATAAAAATTCTAATCAGGTGATCTGATTGAAATAATTTACTGTAAAATTAGTATATTAGATAAAAAGGACGTGTTATTGTTTTTCACCTACCTGAGATCCAGTCTGCTAGATTATGCATCCGTCTGCAGTTCGCTTGCCACATCGGGACTTGCTTGAAGCGAAATGTTTTCACGTTTTCCTGACGTGATTTAGCGATTATCGGCGTCAGCAGAATGACGGACACTAACTTGTTTCCGCGAAGTTCTGCTGGGCTGGGATCGGTCCGATGCTGCTGCAGGATCTGCAGGAAATGCAGAGCTCTCCTTTAGAAAAAGGTGATCAAAATCCTCATTTCCTCCGGTCATATTACATGGAGTCCGTCCAGTGAATCCGTTTTCTCATCTCTGAGTTACAGCTTACGTCACGCGTGACAGACTCAGACCGGAAACTGAGAGGGAACTCCTTCAGAATAATAGGTCAGATTAAAATTGTCATTTTCTGCAAAACACTTGAGAAAATTTATACCTACGAACTCACTTTGCTTAAATTTATATAACTGCTGAAATTTATATACATTTCTTCTTGGCCTAGCCCAAACTCAACCCAGCATCATGATGATGTTGGGGTGAACACATATGGACCTAGTTTTAACAGAAGTTTGACCAAGTCACTGCTTTTCAAGTCACAAGTAAGTCACAAGTCTTTCCAGTCAAGTCTTGAGTCAAGTCCAAGTCAAAGACAACCAAGTCCAAGTCGAGTCCAAAGTCAATGATGTGGAAGTCCTAGTCAAGTCCAAGTCCTTAACTTTGAATTTTCAAGTCATAATCAAGTCATCTTCAAACTTCAATTTCATGACAATATGACGATGAATAAATTCCAGAAATAATTTGTTCAAACAAGCAGGAAGTGCAACTGAAGTTGATTCTAAACAACGCGCTGCTGCATTTAGCAGTACAAACTCAAACCCAGAACAAAGAACGATTTCTCATATTTGTTCATGTCGTGTCACTTTTGTGCTAAAATATCAAATATTCTCAAGTCATCATCAAGTCAACAGATGCAAGTCGATTCAAGTCGCAAGTCATTGGCGTTCCAGTCCAAGTCAAGTCGTAAGTCTATATAGATTTTATCAAGTCAAGTCAGAAGTCATGAAAATAATGATTCAAGTCTGACTCAAGTCATGTGACTCGAGTCCACACCTCTGGTTTTGACTTTAGAAGTGGGGGGACAGAACCGGCTTGAGGACAAGGGGTGTGTGTGTGTGTGGGGGGGGGGGGGGGGGGGTCCTTTCAGTAAGTATACAAAAATATGTATTAAAATACAGCCTAGACATGCTTTTATGCATGTTAGGACACAAGTGGCAAAAATGACCAATCACACGTTAGCAATTATCAGCAGAGCCAATAGATGAGCTTATGGATGGTTCTAACCGGAAACAGGCTAATCATGATCAGAGGCCTGTTGATTTGAGAACATTAATTGTTTTCACGCTGAGATCTTCTACTACTCTCTCAAAACACTGTATTCACACTCCAAGAAACGGACACCCAGCCAACGGTCATTTTAAAAATGCTTGAAACAACTAAACTGTCTAATGTGAGAAAAATCTATTTAATAGTGTAGAAATTATTTTTGTGTTATTAAGGGACTGCTGCTCTGGCACCACCACGTCACCCAAACATCATGTTTTTGGATTGTTAATCCCAACCCTAAATCATGAATTTGGCGAGCCGGGCGGCCATGGGAATTGTGGTAGATCATATTTGGGTGATATGTCAGTCCACTACAGTCAAATTCATTGTCATTCCAGATTTATGCAAAAGGTAAAAATTTTATAATCAAATTGTAAACAGACATATGTCATTAGGCCTTATGTTGTTGGCTCCTCAGTGTAGTTTAAAAATGTCACTAGATCTGCTACAAATGGACTTTTGCCTTTATTGGCCTTCAGGAACTCTTTTATGTGCTCACTAATGTCTGGAATGACACTCCACAAGATGTTAGGACAGCATCATTGCAAAGTCTATTTAAAAGAATATTTGTTTTTCAATTGCTGGACCAATATACCTGTTTACAATACAATGCACCAACTGATGAAGATGACTGCATAACCTTCTTCTATCTGTACTTCTATTAATTGTATATGCTTGTATGATTGTTCTGTCTTGTCTTGGTATGTATGACAGTGTGTTCAGAGTTATATGTTCTGCAGAACAGGAACCTGCTAAAAAGCAGTTTTTAACTGAGTCAGACTCGATTGTTTTAATCATTTCCTGTTTAATACATCTGAATTGAATTGAACGTCACCCAAATATCATCATTTTGGGTTGTTCACCCCAACTTCACCCAAATCAGGCAATCAGACTCTATTTGTATAGCACTTTTCATTCAAAATATATGCAGCTCAAAGTGCTTAACAGATTAAAATGACCCCATATGACCCATATTCCCACCCCTTCCCCACAAATATAAAAACAATTGTGACAGTTACCCCTCTCCATCACACAACCCATTTGCCACACACACACAAAACCTAAAAAACAGCACAAGCAAACACTAGGCTGAGTTCAGATGGGTTAGGTAATGAATGGCACGCCATCAGGTGAGCCATCTGCCCCGGCAGTAGCTGATCAACGGCAGCAGCCAAGGTACCAACCCAGGGCGCCCAGGAAGGGAGGGCAGAAACCCACCACCACCACCGCAGAAGCACACCCTAGGAACGCCCAGGCCGCCAGTCGACCACCACCCCCGAGGCAGAGGGCCCCACAGAGGAAACACTGGTATGATTAAAATAAGTAAAATGAAAACAAATAAATAATATTAATATTAATAGCTAATGTGGATAGTAAAATAACGAATAAAAACTGATTAAAGAGATAGTAAAACACTAAAACATAAATATCTAATACCATGAAAATGGAAATAACAAAATTAATTAATTAATAAAACAGGAAATGCAGCTAAAAACAGAAATCAGTTAAAAGCTAAGCTAAAAAGTTGATTCTTAAAATATTATTTTGGGTTGTTCACCCCAATAAAAGGATCACCCCAATGAATAACCAAATGTATGTTATCCAGAGACTTCACATTACAGGACAAAGTAACAGCTTGTTTAGGGGTGTCCAATCCAAGTTCTTCAGGGGCACTGGCATGTTTTAATTGTTCCTCTTGTCCAGTACAACTGATTTAAGGGTTGAAAACCCTTTCCAGAATATCATCAAGTTCTGCAGAAGCCTGCTTATCATCTGCTGGTTAAGATCAGGTGTGTTTAAGCTGAGGAACCATGAAAATGTAGGACAGGGGCCCTTAATGACCAGGACTTGATACCACTGGTCTAGTGCCACAGGGAAAAAATACTTTTGAATTTTTATGAGTTTAAAAAAATCCAATTTTTGTTCATCAACATCTCCATTCTTGATCATATGCAGCTTCAGACCAAGCTGCTTTCAAACACTAATGACATCTGCTGGAAGAGTAAATACTGTCAGTGTTGAGACAAAGTCAGCATCAGACTGGAACCTGCTATCATTCTATTACCGCCATTTTCAGCAAGAGCAGGCCACATTTACTACAATAAAAACAAGTCAAATGCATAAATAAAAATAATAAATGCTGACATTTTGGAGTCAGTACTGAGAAAAAGTTAGAATTCTTGTTTTTCCTACTGAATCACTGCATTGGCTCCCTGTATGTTTCAGGATCAATTTTAAGGTTATTCTAATGGTTTTTAAGTGTCTTAATGGTCTTGGGCCTTCTTGTCTCTCAGAACTGTTTTTGCCATATGTACCATCACGGCCTTTGCGCTCCTCTGGCAGGCGTCTCCTGGTCCTCCCTAAAGTCAGGACACACTTACGGTGAGGCGTCCTTCCAGTATTACGACCCTTGCCTCTGGAACGATCTTCCGGAGGACCTCAGGGCCGCAGAGAATGTTCATGTTTTCAAGTCCAGGCTCAAGACCCACCTATTTAGGTTAACTCTTATCTAATTATTTATTATAGTTTAATTTCTCGTTGTGCGTGATTATATTTTATTGCTTGCTTTGCATGTTTTATATGATTATATTTTAGCACTGTTTTATTATTTAATATTATTATTTTACTGCCTATATGATTTTATTTATTACTTTCTTACTTTTGTCATTAATACTAGCTTTTATTTTCACATTTTTACTCATTTTAATCCAGTGTTTCCTCTGTAGGGGCCCTCTGCCCCGGGGCGGTGGTTGACTGCTGCGTCCTGGGCGCTCTATAGGTAGTGTTTAAGTGGAGGTGGGGGTCTATGCTCCCCCTCCTCTGAGCATCCTGACTTAGTGTGGAAGACCTGATGCTGCCGGGGCAGACGGCTCCTCTGATGGCGTTTCCTTGCCTTACCTTACTTGGCTCATCTAGACTCAGCCGAATTTAAATTTTTACTGATGTGTGTGTGTTTGTCAATGTTTTTAAACTGTTTTGGGAATTCGGGGTCATTTTGTAAAGCACTTTGAGTAGCACTTTGCTTGAAAAGCGCTTTATAAATAAAAGCTGATTGATTGAACTGAACCTAATCTTTTCACATACATATGGGTATTTCCTAAATCCAGTGCTCATTTGTTTTTAACCATGATTGTAAAAACTCAATAACTACAGTGCAAAAAAGACAATAATGTGTTAAAGATTTATTCATTAAGAGCTGCAAAATACAGATAAATAACATTTGAACAATAATTAGATATCTTAATATTTGCATGATATTCTTGGACAGGGGTGTCTCAAAGGGCAGGGATTGAAATTGACAACTTATTTTCTTTCTTTTTTTTTCTCCATTTCTTTATAAATAAAAAAAATCAGCTTTGGCAGAAAAGCTGGACTATTATACTTTAGAAAAACTAGACATGTTTAACAGTTCAGTCAGTATCATATAAAAACTCTATTACTAAACACAAAGCTCTGAGTCAAGTAAAGCCAGATTTCAGGACAGAGTTGTATCCAGCTAAAGCAGACCACTGTAGCATTGCCTTGCTGTAAAACTGGCCTAAATGCTGCAGAGCCACAAGGAACGTTCTTGAGGTAAAAGAAGGTGATATGATGATTTCTGATTTAGTGGAGTTGAACCACCGAGCCCAAAATCTGGTTTCTGTGCAATGATTTAAAAATATAACCAGTCTGTTATACAGCAATCAAATCTCTTTTAACTGGAAAGACGTCCCATGTCAGACCATCTCCATGTGGAGGGTGTCCAGAGGGAAGTAGTACACGTGTCACCCAGTGACTACGCACATGAAAGAAGAAAAAACATTTCAGATAACAAACGGCACAGGGCAACATCTAGTCCTGGAGATGCATGAATAGCTGCAGAGATTCTGTTCAAATAACAGAGGTACACACCTTTTTTTCTCCACCCCTAAGAAGATTTTCCAGTTGTTCAGTTTACTGTAGTTGAAAGGGTTTTTATAAAGCTGGCAGAATAAAAAGGAAGGCAAATTAGACAAGAATAAAATAGGGGTTTAGTGCTATTCCTTCACCTAAGGTTTACATATGACTGTTTAGAAACTTTTGAAAGAATTACACGATTTAAAAAAAAAGTTATTAATCAAAGTTCTTAGTTAACCTATAATGCTCACCTTTCCCCACTGGGCCAGTCGGACTGCTTCTTTCTTGTTAATGTGTCTTTCTATGCTGGTTTCTCCTCTAGATATGAGAACTGCATGCCAGACGGTTAAAGCTCCCAGGGCCACTCCCGCTGTGCTACAAGAACAAAAGCACTTTCCATTTCTCAGACAACCAAAACAAACAAAAAGTATTTTTAAAGAAATAAATACTGATGTAAACTGGAGACTCTGAAGCAGGCAAACACTGAATTAGATTCAATTATCAATAGATCATTACTACATATACACACACACACACACACACACACACACACACACACACACAAACACACATACACATTGGGGCAAGAAAGTATTTATATAGCCTCTAATTGTGCGAGTTCTCTTATTTAGAAAGGCGAGAGGCCTGTAATAAAAGGTAAACCTCAACTATGAGGCAAATAAATCCAGAAAATCACATTGTCTGATTTTTAAAGAATTTATTTGCTAATTATGGAGGAAAATAAGAATTTGGTCAATAATAAAAGTCCATCTTAATACTTTGTTATAGACTTTGTTGGCAATGAAAGAGGTCAAACTTTTTCTGCAAGTCTTCACAAGGTTATCACACCCTGTTTCTGGAATTCTTTTTAACCGTTTCTCTCTTTTTTGATCTTGTGAAGGGCTTTGTGATTTTTATCTTGAGATGCTCTATATAAAAAACTGGTTTCTTTCTTTTGGCCCATTCGTCCATACAGATCTCTAGAGCTGTGAAGTTTTGGGACTGTCGCAGGGTAACACCGACTTTCAACTCCCCTTCAAAGATTTTCTATGGGGCTGAGATCTGGAGACTGGCTAGGCCACTCCAGGACCTTGAAATGCTTCTTATGAAGCCACTCCTGTGTGTTTGGGATCATTGTCATGCTGAAAGACCCAGCCACATTTCACCACCACTGCTCTTGCTGATGGAAGGTTTTCACTCAAAATCTGACGATACATGGCCCCATTCATTATGTTCTTTACATGGATCAGTTATCCTGGTCCCTTTGCAGAAATACATCCCCAAAGCATGATGTTTCCACCTCCATGCTTTACAGTAGATATGGTGATCTTTGGATGCAACTCAGCATTCTTTCTCCTCCAAAAACAATGAGGAGAGTTTTTAATCAAAAAGTTCTATTTAAGTTTCATCTGACCATATGACATTCTCCCAGTCCTCTTCTGGATCATCCAAATGCTCTCTAACAAAGTTCAGACGGGCATGCACATGTACTGGCTTAAGCTGAGGGACATGGCTGACCTTCCAGGAGTAGAGTCCCTGGAGGCGTAGTGTGTTACTGATGGTAGTAGCCTTTGTGACTTTTGGCACTTACACACTAGCGTTGGCACAGTCGGGGTTTGGTCGGGCTGGATGGCGTGAGTTCGGTCTTGAACGGATGGTGTAGTGTTCACATATATACACGAGGGACTTCTCAGGAATGCGGAAATCTCAGAGCCTGTGGGCGACGTTCAATACGCACGGGAAAGTCTGCTGTGTCCTCCATTATAAGGTAAACAAAGGCAAGCATGAGCTGTGATGCTGTTGGAGACTCTGAACCACATTATTTTATGAACTCATTCACTGCCATTGACGACTTAAGTCGTCATTTGCATTTTTTTACTGTGTGGGCGTCGGCTCCAAAGCCGTTCTTCATCCACATACATCACACGTCACGTGATCAGGAAGCAGAAAATCCATGTGTTAGATCGTTTTGGGCCGCTGCTGTAAAAAAAAGTGAGGCGTGAACCAGAAAAACTTCTGCCGATCACAATTCAACGGATTATGAAAGAACGGATAAAGCTCGAAATGTGCAGATTCTTCCTGATGTAAGAGGTGAGTCTCCGCTTTGTTTTGACGTTGACATCATCCTAACACGCAACGTTCTGTGACTCTTAAAAAAATGGTGAGAAACGCTGGCAGCAAATGAGTTAATTTGCTGTGTGTGTCCCAAGCCCCCACGATGCGGCTCAAAAATTGAGGCCAACCCGGAAGTTGAAAATATATATCTCTCATATAAGCTCTTTCATATATTATTATAAGCTCTTTTATATGATTAAATATGTATCTCTCACTTTTGCTCCTTATATATTATCATAAATACATTATTATATGCCTTTTCATGGAATCTTGTTATAATATCGAAAACCTCTCTGTGCCTTTTCTGCTCAAGCTGAACAGCTGCATAAGGGAGTGAAAGCGTTCCTTCCTTCAGTTCCTCAATACAAGAACAACTGTCTTTGTTAGCAAAGGATGTTGCAGGATGTGTCCTGATCATCTCAAGGTTGCATGTCCTTGGGATGAATTGGTCTTTCATTAACAAGGCTATTAGCTGACGTGCGTCTGCAGGTGCAGATGGCAGAATTACGTGTGTGTATGGCAAACTACGTATGTAACATTCCTGTAATCTTCAATAAAAATCAGCCGTTTTCAGCAGAACGGCGAGAGTCTGTCCGAAGCATCTGGCAAGAGCAGGTCGCGGGACTTGCTGCAGAGACTCTCCCCCTCATGAGCGGTGAAACAGTGAATGGACTTCTGATCATTTGTCTCCTCGTTCTGTCAACTTAAAAGGTGTTTAACTCCATCTACTCCGTACCCGTGCTTGGTCTAACGGAAGAGAGACCAACAAATTTGGCGTCACGAACAGGATTTTTTCTTTTTGAAGAAAAAGGAGTTTTTGGAGGACAATTTGACCAACCGACCCAGCGAACAGATCTTGGCACAGAACACCGCGGTGGAAAACAAGGTGAGCAGAGCCTATTATCTAAAATCTGCTCATTGGATTTATCCAAAGCCTTTGTGTCCAGAATCATAGTAGCTGAGGTCCTAAAATAATAGTTGGAGAAGAAAGTGGAGACAAGTGCAGGAGAATAAGAGATTTTTTTGTAATGGTTTAGTGGTGAAATGAAATGAGGATTTTTTCTAATGGTTTAATGAGTAAATGAGAAAAGGAAATAGTACAGATGAAGGGATGGTGACCCAGGGCTAATAGAGTAGCCCTAAAGTTCCATTTCCAGGTCGTGGCTGACCACACTATTTGCTGACGAGCGGATAGAATATATAACAAGGTTATATAAAGCTTGGCTGGATCCATAGGTGTGGGAACCCTAAAAGTCCACAGGTCAAGGACCTGGTTTTTTTGTGTTAAGGGAAGGGGAGGCTAAAAGAGAGCTCCCTGGATTTTAAGGTCAAGGACCTGGTTTTTTGTGTTAAGGGAAGGGGAGGCTAAAAGAGAGCTCCCTGGATTTTTAAGGTCAAGGACCTTTTGCATGAGATGAGAAAAATGTTCTGAGGTAACTGTTTTTGCATAAGATGATAAATGTTTTGACTGCTTCTGTGTGAAGAGAGCAGTGCTTTTGGCTATTTCTGCGTGCTTTTGGCTGTTTTTGCATAAAATGAGCAATGTTTAAATATGACAAGCAGCCCAGTTGAAGCCACGAGAAATAAGGTTTTATTGAGAAAGTCAGCGGAAGAGGCGATGAAGAAAAAAGGGGTAGATGTTAACAGTAGAGGTAACTGGAGAAAGATTTGGGAAGTGAAGGCTGCAGAATCAAGAGAAAAAAGGCACAGCTGTAGACAAGCTTCCTGTGTGTGTAAGCTGAGTTCAGCCTGTGTGTGTGAGGCGCAGCAAGAGGCTGCTTACGGCTCTGAATTGAAAGTGCAGCACTAGGAGAGTGCAGAATGCAGAGCAGAGTTTTGGGAGCTCCGTGTGCGTGTGTGTGTGTGTACAGCGCTGGGTGTGTGTGTGAAGGCCTGATGCGGTACCAGAAAATAAATAAATAAGATAAATAAGAGCTTTAAAAAGTTGCAACTCGTATATGTAAATTACACTGCAGTGCTAAAATTAATGTTTGGAGCTACGCAAAATTCAAATTCTGCAACCCTGTTCTGATCAGTCTTTGAACAGAACACCATAAGTTAATAAATAAAAGGTTTTTAAAGTAACATATGCATATGTATGTGTGTATGTATGTATATGTGTATACATATATATACATATGTAGTGTAGAAGCGTGATAATCATTTGTGTGTGGGGCAGCATGTGAGTGACCCCGATCTGGGGGTTAAGTGACCTGGAGATGAAAAAAGGGAAAAAACCACCAAGAAACGCAAGTAAGGATGTAAATGACAGCTTTATTTTAGAAATATAGTCATATAGCTGCTAAACAGTAAAATCAAAACAGATCTGCAGAAAATAAATATATAAACTATTCCTCAGAGCGCTCTCAAAAAAATTGCAATTGGATTTGCTCTAATGTTACATAAGGCCTGCTTAAAAGCATAGTAAGCATTAAATTCTGAAAATAACCAGTGCAGTGTTAAATAAATTCTGTGCTTAAAATATTATATATATATAGAGAGAGAATAAATAAGTGACGAACTGACTTACCTTAAAAAAATAATAATAATAATAAAAAGAGACTGTGACAAACAAAGAATGTCTCTGTGCTTTGTGAATGAGTGAATGTGTGTCTTCTTGCATGAGCTGCTTTCGCTGGATCTTCTGAATGACTCAGTTTTTAATAGAGGGAGCAGCTGCTTGAGAAACAGGGTGCGGTCCATGTTTTTACTAGACGGTTATTTAGTTCGAGAGACTGTGGAAACAATAGAAAAAGAATTTATCGTTAGTGTGAGGACAAGAAAATCCTTTAAAATACAAAAGTTGTATGGTTGTGGTTATAAAGGAAGTATTTTGTCTGATTATGGGCCGTGGAGTCAGCTGGACTCCCTCGCTCTCACAGTTTTTCTGTGTAACATGCAGTTTTAAGCAATTTGTGACTTTAGAAAGGATATTTTTCGGTGTTTTGGACGTACCTTAAGGCTTCTGGTTAGGGTATTCAGGAGATCCTTCCTCTCGGACAGATTTAGTGAGAATGACTGGAGTTTCAGCCTGGGGACCTGACTCCACCCACTTTTACACACAGGAGTCCCGCAGTCTAAAAATAGCACAGGGTACTGCGAAAAGCAGCTCTGAACCTCTCAGGATCATCTTTATGAAAACCATAAAATTAACAAATAATCAGTCAGGAAATAAAATATTTGTTAAATCTTGCTATAAAACAAAATCCAATAATTGTCTTACCTAAACTTTAAGAACCATTAACGTTAATGGCTGGATT